TCAATTAGGTCAAGCTGGAAGGCAGCAATTAGACCCAACTGCATGTGCTAGTTACAGCAGCTACAACAGGTTTAACGTGTACAAAGAAAATGAATTCTGGTAATTGAACTTCTACATTCCTGGTCCCATTTATAGTAAGCCTTCCTCCTCTTTCTTCCTCTGCCTTTAATGGAGACTTCATATACTAGTATGCATATATTGGTATATATTTTCTTCTTGTTTGAGAGCTGTTGTTGACAGAAATGACATGACTGTTGAATAAAGGAACATGCAACATCACAGAGGAAAGTCCCTAATCAGAGCCTAGACAATGGCTAAGCAATCAATTTAATTGGATAGAAATTTCATGACATGGCAAAGGAAGTGCATGAGACAGAAAGGGATATTAGCTTAAATTACATGCCACCAAGAAGTCTTTCAGTATGCCATGATTTCTTGTCTTGTTTATGTCCTGGCAAGTGTTGTACTCATTCAATCCAAGTCGCAAAAAGCTTCATGTAGGTACACACAGACCTTTACCACCGCCCTCCATATGATTCCCTTAGTGCCATATGTTTCCCTTCAGAGCTGGCCAGGACCCTGTGAACACCCTATGAACAGTCCATAATTCACTCTTGTCTTCCCTTTTGATGGAAAAAAAGAAGGTACCTTGTCGTAACTCTAGTGGCACACAAGATTAGTCTGCCAGACTTCCTATCTGCCACTCTCTGCCTGGAGTTGTGCCTTTACCAAACCTATGCTTAGCACAAGCAGGGCCTATGCCAGGATGAGGCAAAACAACACTGGTTCTCAGGGGGATTTATCTGGGTTTTTAGTGAAGATCACATAAAAAGATATCATACAAAGGTGCTCCTTCCCAGATAAAACAAATCTAACCAAGAGTTGTGAATAAAGACTTCCAAGGGAAGTCTTAGATTCTATGGCTTTTGAGGACACAATTGCTTAGCCACAAACACTGGCTCAGCACATCTAGCAGAAAATATGATGCAGATGAAGTGTTGATTACAATGTGGATCACAGTAGAAAGCCTACACATATTTTTAAATACACACACCAGTTTTGTGTGACAATACCATGTAACCTGATGGTTAATTAAGCAAAGTTTCTGTGAACAGATCTGAATCTGCATACTGGGCTTTATGCAATAACATCACTTTGTATCACAAGGCCTGAATTTACAGCATCCCCAAATCATGGTTTCAGTTAAAGTTTAGTCACTACTCAGTATCAGGTCATTTTCTCAGGGAAAATCTGCAACTTTTGTTTCCACAATAAGGCAGACCATGATCTAGCTCTGAATAAAGGCAATTAGTATATGCAAGAATCTAAAACTGCACACATTCTGTTACAAGGAAAGTTAGCAGTCCCCCTTATTCTGAGAATGGCTTCTAGCTATAAACCCTATAGGAAGAAATAAAACATTTTACTAGCTGCTTTAATGCACAATTGTCTCATTCACCAAAGGTAAGGCAAATTCACACCTACTAACTACTCTCCTTGGAGGTGAGCTGCACTCCAGGCCAGCAGAGAAGTGGCCTAGGTGTGACATACTTTTGCACAAAGCCATTGAAATGCACCCTTTGGATGTGGCAATGTTTTCACATTAGCCCAAGCACTCCATCTCAGTTCTCATTGCACCATCCTTTGGGATGAACCAGGGGTGAAGCTGCCTCCGACCATGAATGCATGTGCACGTGGGTGTACATAAGAATGAACCCACACATATAAACGCATTTGCATGTGCAATCTGAAAGGGACTGATGGTAGTCTGGAGGGTATGGTATCTATGGGAAAGCCCTAGAATTTACCATAGACACCCAGTCACTCCTCTTTCCCAGAACAAGCTCCAGGACTATGAATAAATACTATCCTCCTTGGATCTTTCAAATAATTGCCACATTTCCTACTCGAAGAACAGGAACCATAGTAATTACCCTTGGCAGTCTGGAGGAAACACCGAGCATTCCTAGAAGGTTGCCTCATACCAAACAGCATTTTCAGGCCTGCAGAGTGGATAGAAGAGAGCTTACAGCACAGCTGTGCTCCAGCTTCCTCAGGGCAGGCACACAGAAGTTTTCTCTTCCTCCCCAGCTCACCCCACCCTCCCCTCCCCACCTCCACCCGCCCAAAAAAAGGAAACCACCTCAGATCAATTCCCCCAAGCCCATCCCTCCTGCCTTACCTGTTCCTGCCTTACCCCCAGCATATCCTTTCTCCTGCTCCAGTGCTGAGAAGCACCTGCCCATCATTTATACCTTGTGAAAGAAGCACCACAAAAATCCCTTAAAACAAACATGTCTACAAACAAGGGACCACTCTAGTGAATGTGTACTCTTTATGGTTGGCTGTCTCCCACAACATGCTCAGACCCCACTGCAGTGGTGTCAGGACAAGGCTTAGTGCTCTCCCCACCTTAAGGAGCAGAGTGTGACTGCACATACCTCACATGCCTGGACCACTTTAGTTCCAAACTTGGACCTAATGCTTTGTCATGCGGCTGAGCATAACCCATCAGCTCTACCATGAATAGAATTTTCTTCTTATTTTGTCATTTTTACATATTTCAATTAACAAATAAGAAGAAAATCCACCTTTAATCTAAAGGAAAACAAAACAAAACAAAAAAGGCAACAAAAATAAAGAGCCTACTTGTGCTTAATTGTTATTCTAATTACAAGTTGTGGTGTAGTGTAAATTTTTTCCCTTGGCATTATTATGAACCTCATTTCCTTATGAAGTCCAGGATAAACAATTCCAATATATTTTGTTTTAATTATCAGGGTTTAATGGGGCATAATAAGACTAAGTTGAGTGGTGCAGAAAAAAAAATAATTTAATGTGTGCAAAACTACCTAGTGCCCCTAGTTTGCCTGTGCATATTTCACCTATTGTAGGGCAGCACTATGTTAGCTAATATTCAGTGTGCCCATCATTTATTTATTAATCATACTTGCTTTTCAGTAGAATTTTTTTTCCTGGCACCTGAAACAAGCAGAAACACATTAAGATATCCTAGAAAAACAATGGGCAGTTCTCTGGGTTGAGCAGTGAAGGATGAAGCTGAAATACAGCTGATGGTGCTGGAAGCATTTGTCATGCATGGGCAGAAGATGCAATGTTGGACACAGATCCTGCCTCTGCCAATCCACTCCAAATGCTGCCAGTAAAAACTTCTGGCTTCAGTTCTTAGGGCCTCTACCACAAGCAAAGATAAATACCAGCTGAAGTCACCATTCAGAAACAACCTCGTCCAGACTCTCACTGTAGATGCATCTTTCCACTCCCAAGGTGTGTTCCTACAGCATCAAAACACTGCAGGTACTTCTGCAGTGAAAAGGAAAAGTGCATAAGAGCAGCCTGGGAAATATAACAGTTAAAGAAAGATCCATTATGGCCCTATGCTTCCCAAGGTCCCTTTGGCAATGGCACTGAATCCCATGGCTGGGTGTGGCTGATGAAGCAGTTAGAACCACCCTGTTACCAGATTTACATTCCACTTTACCAGGGCAACCATATCACAAGATCAAAACACTTTCACTTGAGGAATAACTACTGGATCATCCCTGAAGGGAAGTATGTCTGTTCTCCTTATCTGTTATACTCCGCACAAAGGACTTGAAACTGTCTGCACTGAAGCCACTGAGAATGTCTTCTCTTCTGAAAAATTACTTGATTCATGACTCTAGGAAAGGTTCAAATACAACACATGAACCATACCAATGTTACTTTACATTTATTTAAAAATTAGCATTTTATATTACAGATTAATTTACTATACCCCAAGTGTTTGGGTTTTAAATAAAATAAATTTATTATAAACATCAGTATTTACAGAAAGAAAAACAATGCATTTTTTTAAGTCTCAATGGAGTAAAAAAATTCTCCACTAAGATTCTGGTCATGGGAGATGCCACATTCTGTGAGAGGTCAGCCTCTTTCAAGGGTTAATTGAGACAAGAAACCAACCAGGCTTAAGATATACCTCAATGAATTGACTGAGGAATGGCAATGGGCTGATTACCTGCATGAAATTGTAGCAAGATTGAAAGATCTCAAGGGACCCCATCCAAGCCTGTCCTCCTATTCTTCAAAGAAGGGAAGGGAATCAGCAAGTACATTCTAGTAAAACTTGCCTCAGACACCAGACCAGGCCATATCTAGCATTCTCATGGGCCTCCAAATCTTCAGGGTTTTCTTTCTTCTTGCTAAACCACGAGGATTCTGACTCAAGCTTAGAATCCCACAGTACAGCAAATACACAAAGGCAATCTCTGGTGCCACACACCCTGACAGCCATTAAAGAGACAGGCACTGGCCTCACCATACAGAGTTGCAGCCCTGAGTTAGAAGCCAAATACGCTGACTCCCAGACAAATACTGACCTATGGCCTCCTTCAGACTGGCTAGCAAGTCCCATGGGGACTTATGAGGGGTTCTCTGCATTTGTAGAACTGCATAAAACTCAGGAGAAGTCCATTTCCTGGTAATGCATGATCTACAAGTGGTAGAAACCTCTGAAATTAGCTCTGGGCAAATACTTACCCTGAAAGCTCAAAGTAAGACTGCACATCCCCACTGGATCATGCAGCCAAAACTGATTAAGGCTGTGCTACTGACACCAGCATCCCATCCTGGATTGAGGCAGGATGCTATGCCTGTTAAATCACTAGAAATTCTGAGCCTTGGTATACAGAACAAGACATTAATTTGAACAGTCAACTTAATGAGTTTCAGCTCCTTCATATAGCAAGTTCCTGATTTTAATAGTTTCCTTGGTGTACAGGCACTCAAAGAGTTCTCCATGGAGATCTTGAAGTCGGCAGTGCTTCACAAGCCAGCTACCTTTCTACAGCCATGGTGAGAGGAGAAGAATTTGAAGCACAGACCAGTTTCTGTCTCTCCTGCCCTGTAAAGTGAAATGCCATCTCCTTTGGTATCTTCAGTGGCAAATGGGGAGCTGAATCCAGGTGCACACCAAGTGCAGAGAAAAAAAAGTCTTGCTAATGACAACCACACCTTGTTGCCACCATATCTTCATAATTTTTAAGGATGACATTCTGTTTGTCATCAAAGTAGAGAAGATTGAGGGACTTCAATTCATCTGGTACACAGCAGGGCATGCTGACATCTTGAGACAATTTCAGTGTATAAACAATGGACTGAACTGTAGCATGGTTTGTTGCATTTAGACTTTCCCCCAAAGGGAAGATGCAGGATCCTCTGCAATAAAATGCATTGTATCCACTTGGGTAAATGATCCACCCTGACCAGCCAATAGCATGGAAGTCTACATAGAGCTCCCTTCGGTGACAAGCTGCTAATGTGCTTCCATCAGCGGCTGCGGCGGCTCGGGGTCTCCTGCTCATGCTAGCGCTGCTGCTTTCCATGACAGCAGTGTCATGAGAAACACGAGAAGCATCAGATTTGGCAGGGGTTGTTTCCGATTCTGAAAGGAAGCTGTATGTTAATATTTCACAAAGTTTATTTACAAAGTACAGTAATCTGCATGAAAGTCTATTAAGTAAATCTACATTGAAGTTTTCAGAGATTTTAAAACAGCACCTAACCTGTGAATATACCAAAAATGTGTGTGTTCAATTGCCTTTTCAGCCATACTTCCAAATCTGTCAAATCTTGTGTCCTGGAAAAGCCCCAGTTCAGCAGAAATAGAGAAAAACACCATCTTTGATGAAAGCAGCTTTTAGTCACAACACTAATTAGTCATTGAAGTTAAATAGGTGCTTAAAAACCAAGACAAGGACAGAGAAGTTCAAATTGCTTGTTTAACAACCTCTTTCACTCTTAAAATCACACTTAATGACTCTACTTACAGATACTTTACCAGAATTTTGAAAAAGCATTCCAGGTCACTGACTTTTCTTCAATATAAACCCAACATAAAATTTTCATGCAAATTTTACCACCACAAAAATAATATAAGCAGTACTTAAAAAATAGAACTTCCACCCCTTTACAAACTAAATAAACCAGATTCTCTTTAGGATAAATGAATACTTCTGGCACACAGAGTTTTTGTGAGGGGAGGGACAATTTAGCTGGTGACCTACTAGAAGGGACTATCAAATCAAATTTCGATCACTGACAAGCTGAACTTCGAACCTGTTCAATACTGCAAGTAAATAACTGAGGTTAGGTCTACATGAGGTAGCAGAAGGTGACAGAAGATGAACACACATTTCATATTCTAAAAGAGCACTTACTTGTAGCAGAGGGTACAAAGCTGTGAGACCTCCGTTTGTTACTGTTCGTGAAGAGGACCAGGAGGGCATTTCTGCTCTCCTGCAGAGCACTCTGGCTCTTGGCAAATGTAACCACGTCGTGCTCCATTTCATTGTTGGAAACATGTGTCGCAGTTATCCAAAAGCCATGGTTGGAGCTGCTGTTTCCAAGCCACTTGGAAACCTGGTGAAGATAGGGAAAAGAAAAAATATTGTTTCAGTATTCTCATTAGAGCATTATAATTAAGCAACGTTTATATTAGGAAAAGAGAATAGGCAACAAGCTATGAGAGCATAAGGACATATATTACAACAGAAGTGAGATAACTGTATAGCTGAGACTCCATTGACTTGAATATTTAAACCAGTAATTCAACACTTAAAAATACAAAATAGCATATGCATTCCCCAAAGCTACATTTACAGGAATATCATTAATTTCAGAGAATTTACCAGTGAACACTTGAGTGTAGAAGTTAATATTAAAATAAGCTCTCTCTGACTTTCAGCAGAATTTTTTTTCGTAGTAAACTGAACACAGTAATATTAAGTATCCAGACTTTTCATGCTGACTTATGTAAATGTAAAAAACATGGCATTTGAAGACATTCACAATCAAGCAAATTTACTTATCTAATTGTTATTATTGCACACTGATCGATTAGGCTAGCTCATTCTCTAGCAGGAATATAATGACTTAAGATGGAACTCAACCAATCATCTAAATACGCTGTTCAGTCTGATCATAAAGCATAGGCAATGAAAAACCCTCTTCCAGAGTACCCCTTTAAACCACGTGTGGGTCTTTTGCTACAGAAAGGCATTCACCTGTTACAATTTATGGATAGCTACAAAACAAATCTTGAAGCTCACAAATATAGTCTATGCGGGAAGTTGAATGACAGGCAATCCAACTACGATAAACTCTGGAAACACAACGTTGAAGCAATACTGCTCTACAGAAATGCTGCCAGAATAAAAAGGAGAAATGAAAACCTACTCTTAGTTGGCAACCATTGCCAATTGCTTTGTCAGGCTAAGGACTAATACAAGGTTTTAATCACAACGACCTGATGTCCCTCCATCGACTAGGTTTGGGTTACTCAGTTCTCACCATGCTTGTTATCTTAGCAGCTCATAAACACTTCTTTAATTCAGGTAGCATCAGGTGTACTTTTAAGGGTAGAGAGAAAGCTTCTCACTCTGCTGCTGTCGTTCTGTTTGAATTGAATTTGACCTCAAAACACAGCTTAATGGCTATGCTGGATTTATAAAGTGTCATCTCAAAAGTTTAAGAAAAAACATTAAGTTAGATTTCATTGCTTACTGTCTGTGTGACATTGAAGACTTCCCAGCCTTCCGTGTAGAGGGACAATAGTCTTGATGCAATGAGATGTTTTCTATGTGGCTTATTTTCACTCTCCAAGAGCTCATACACTTCCACCTAAATAACAGCAATATACAACAAAAACAAGAAGAAATTAATTTGATTGTTCTTACAGCAAACTAGGAGGATGAAGATAATGCAGGTTTCTGCTACACCACAGCTGTAAACTGCACCGTCATTCTAAAAGGGGTAAAAAGCAGATTTTGGACAGTTTAAGAGAAGAACAGTTATCGCTACATACATCTACTTCTAGATGTGTTCAGAGGCAGGATACCAGATACAGATACTATAGAAAAATACCCTAACCATCCCTATCCCGTTTTGAACACCATCAAAGTCTTCTGATCCTCCACATACTTGTGTTCAGGTCTGCAAAAAGTCCAATCCTGCCCTTTGCCAGAGAACTAGATACACTCAATTTCCTTGTCCGCCCTGTTTTCCCAGTAATCCCTGGCTGCTTCTACTATTTTTCGGAGCAGCTCCATGAGATAAATTTCAATTCGAATTTTGAAACATCTCAAATCCCATAAAAGTATATTTGGGATTGTTCTGACATTGGTATCTTTAGGAAAAACTCACCGCCATAACACAAAGGTCAGCGTAAAGCCAAAGTCAAACTTTGCATTACTACTTTGCATGCTGGAGGTAAAGAAAAATTGAGGATGACAAAACAAAAATAACAACAAAGCAGGTTCGTGTGACACGTAGTTGCACTCCATATTTTCAATACTAGTAACAAAGATAGCAGAATTCAGTGCTTAACTATTTTCCCACTTACTTTGCAGAAGTGCTGCGTGTCGGACCTTCTGGACCGGTGTGTCCTCTTAAGCTTGAAGACCCTGAACTCGGCTTTCAGCATCTGCTCGCCCTTCTCCATCGCGCTGATGTCGAAGGAGAAGTGGTGGTGGTCCGCGTGAACTGGAAAAGACCCTTCTTTAGGAGCAGCGCCGGGCCGGGCCCGCCCGCCGCGGGGCTCCGCGGGGACGCTCCGCGGGCTCGGCCGCGCCGCCCCGCGCCCACCTCGGTCCTCGAAGCTGCGCACCACGTCGCCCTGCAGCAGCCCCGGGGCGCGGGTGATGCCGTTGGCGTCGGCCACCTTGTCGAAGAGATCCACCATGAACCGGGGCGGCTTCTTGCGGGGCAGCACGTCGGGCGGCAGCTCCTCGATGTCGAAGAGCTCCCGCAGGCGCTGCAGGGCCGCGGCCAGCACGGCGTCCCGCGGGCCGGGGCGCAGGGGCAGGGCCCTGGCCGCCCGCAGGCTCAGCAGCCCGGCCAGGCACAGCCACAGGCACGGCGGGCGGGTGGCCATGGACGGCGGCCGCGACCGCAGCGTGAGGGCAGCGGCCCTAGCGGGGCCCGGCCGGGCAGGGCGCGCAGCCCTGAGGGCCGAGGGCCGCGGGCGGGGGCGGCCGCGCCATCAGCGGCGCTTAAGGACTCAAAGGGGCGGCCCGGGCGCTCCCGGGCACCGAGCGGCCGCCGGGCCGCCCCGGGGGCTCGGGCTGCCGCGGGAAGCGCAGGTGTCAGCCAAGAGCACCGCGCTTGCGAAACCTCTCTCCTTTCAATCGACCGTCTTTCTTCAGCCGAAAAAGGCTACGAGTTGGAGATTGCAGAGCCCAGCTGATGTTTCCCGTCGTTGCCGTAGCAATAAAAAGTATACTGGGACTTAGGCGAGAGCTTCTGTACTTCCCTGCCACCGAAATGCCCGGGATCCCGGCACTTTCCCGTCCCACAGCCCCAGGAACGCCCGGGATCCCGGCACCTTCCCGTCCCACAGACCCAGGAACGCCCGGGATCCCGGCACCTTCCCGTCCCGCAGCCCCAGGAACGCCCGGGATCCCGGCACCTTCCCGTCCCACAGACCCAGGAACGCCCGGGATCCCGGCACTTTCCCGTCCCGCAGCCCCAGGAACGCCCGGGATCCCGGCACTTTCCCGTCCCGCAGCCCCAGGAATGCCCGGGATCCCGGCACTTTCCCGTCCCGCAGCCCCAGGAACGCCCGGGATCCTGGCACCTTCCCGTCCCGCAGGCTGCGGAATCGCCGGGCTGCAGGATGGAGGCTGCAGCTCCTCAGGCTCTAAGTCTGGAGCTGCCCAGGGGGAGGAGGTTTTAAGGACAGAGTCCGGGGTTCTGCTAGTGCAGTGCAGCAAGAACAGACAGGTTTTGAAGTATTCAGGGATAGGGACGGGAATACACATTCTGACGAGCTATTTTAAGGCCTATTTCCCAGAGTTAATTAGTTTTCAATAATTTGCCTTTTTGTTCCCCACCCATTGGTTGATGAAGGGGATTCCATATCCCCCATCTGCAAGGACATACTAAAATGGAAAACCAACCCAAATGAACCAACCCCAGCCCTACGGATCCTGCATAGTTGTCCTTTTCAAGGCAGTTTGGCAATTTATAGAGGAGCAAATAGACCTTCCTGATGGTTCATGCAGCAGTGCCTGTTCTTCTTGTGCCACATTGTGCTGTACTCTCTTTCCAGGCAGGACAGTATTGGGAGGTATTTTGTGGGGCAGATAAAAATGTCTACTGGCTCCTCTGCTTAGCCACATGATGTTAGACAGGAGTATTTGCATTGAGCAACTAGATGGATCTATAGGAAAGTAAGACGGGGACAAAGAGGCCACAGCTCTGCACAGTCACAAATTTTTGTTCTATGAACTGCAAAAGACTAGTGGAGGAAAATGAGAAGCAGTGATGGGTTAATCAGACCAATGTAAAGAGCAATGTTGCAGAAAATAAAGCTTCAGCTAACTTTGATCCTCAAAATTCTCCAGTTGTTTTGTAAGGGCCACAGGTATTTCAGCTCATGCCTAACAACAGTGCTGGAAAAAATACTACCCATTCAGCTACCTGCCTGAGAGCTTGGAAAAAGAGTAGTAAGACAGGAGAAATCATCACTACACTGTTGTTCAGTCAACCTAAAAAGCTTTGCTTCCACTCCACTGCTTCTTCACATGCTTATCCTCACAAACCCTACCCTGCCCTTGGGTCTCTTCATTTACTCCCAGTATCCTCTCTAGGCATATACCTTCAGTTTTACTCTCATGATGCTGCTTCCAGACATTAATGTCTGGGAACACATAGCTAGGGTTCCCAAAGAACCTTAACTCTGCCCCAGAGGCAAAGATTTATGAAAAAAAATCCTCTCTGTTTAATATAAGCTGGGACCACAAACAACGAAATGTCTCTATCGTAGTGCAACTGCAGAGATTTCAGCCTACAGTTAGCCAAACATAACCCACTGAGTGCTGTGTTCTTTTATTTTCATATTTCTGATTAGGCAAACAACATAATGAAAGCCTCTCTCCCCATTCTTCTGTAAGACTGCATGACTCACCACTTATGTAAGCCTTATGCAGGAGTTGGTCATAGCTCCTCTGATGATTCTTAGTCCTGGTTTGCAATTAGTGCAAAGCTTCAACCTCCCTGTTCTGTACAATAAAAATAGGTTCTCTCAACTTACGTGTTGTGAGTAGTGTGGCTTTGGGAGCCCAGGAAAAGCTGTGCATCTGTAGGGAACTATGATAGGTAGTTAACTTATAATTTTAGGTGGATTCTCTGGAGTTCAGCATTGGCACTGCTTCCCCTTCTTTCTCAAATGACTGGATAAACAGTTTGTTGGGTCTGAAGAGTTCACAATCATCTGGCTCTCAGGTACAGCGTATGGGTAAGAATGGGGGTATTTATTGTATGGCCTGCCACATGGTCTTTGATGCCATGGTGGAGAATATAGCATAGCAATATTGAAAAAGCATGGTTATTGCATGGTATCATTAGTGGGCAGAGCAAACTTGAGAGCCTTCATTGTACATTTCAGGAACTTTATCAAGTTTGGACTGAAGGGCAAGTCCAATCCTGCTATTCAGAAAGGAAGAGCTCAGGTCAGAACACACCATCCCTTCTCTCATTTTTTGTCACATTAGCATGAACAGTAAGACCTGTGGGTAGAGCAGGCTGGAAGCTGCTTCTTAATACAGCTGCCTGACACTTCCTATGATTCCTGTGCTGGTTCTGTAGTTCCTAATTTAATGACTCACAACAGGTCCATTCTTCCTGGGGAAAAGAACATTACTTTTCTGCTCTGTGAATGAAACAATGATCCTCTGCAGTCTCCTCCGGGTTTTTCAGGCAGGGAGCAAGAACACGAGGCGCTTCACTCAGTTCCGTAACAGTTTAGGCACATTTAAAAAAAGAAAAGAGGAATGGCCCTTGCATGAAAGGTGTCAGACTCTTGTTCACTCTTAGTGGTAGGAGAGGTAGCAAAACCATGCTCACCAGAACAGGTTAAGAATTACTAAGGAAAGCTTCATTCTCTAAGTTTCAGCTGAAGGCACAGGACTGTACCACATCAGCAATACTGCATGAAGTAGGAGTGGTGACATCACCCCAGAGCCTAGAATAGCAATCCCGTGAGGGCTGGGTAGATGGAGAGAGCCACTGAGTTAGTAAGCATTTAGTATATTCAGCATTTAGTCTCAATGTTGGAACACAGAGTTATAAATGGCCCTAAGTAGCAGAGTGTTTTTACCATGTATCTAATATATAAATACGTCTCCCAGAGGAGAAAAACTCCCAAGTGCAGACTCGCCAGCACATCCTGACTCCTAGACATGTGCCCTATACAAGCCCTTCAAAAACTGCACTCACTGCAATTTTCTATGATAGTTTTGTGTAACTTAAGAGTTGCTGAATTAATGATCTAGACCATAAAATACTATATTATCTGTTTTTCCATCCATGTTGTCTTTGTACTATGCTATCATTTCTTGAAGCACTTTTGAAGGATCTGAAAGATGCATTGTTTCCCTCGAAAGACTGTATCCATCAGATGGAGAAACCAATGCAGAATTACAGCATTGCATCCAAACTTACCCAGAAGTTTATAGCAGAAATTCCAGATACTCTTGCTCCTAAAAGACCAAGCAGGTAGATTACTCCACATTTTAAATCAACCTCAGTGACTATGTTACCAAATATAAAATATGGAAACAGGAAAAATTAGGAAGAAATTTAGTAATTTCTTAGCCCACACATTGTGAATATGCCAAATTTGGATAAAATTGCTACAGAGTGTCTTCATATTTAAATTTTTCACCATCTTTATATATCTTTTGAGAAGGCAGAGCCAGCAGCAGCACGAGAGGCATTGCATCATTTTTCCTTGCTGAATCACTGACACAGCTGTTCCACTGCTCTTTAACACCTCCTCCCTTCAAGAGAGAAAACTGCTTAAACTGTAATGACTGGATTTTATATATGAATCACAGCAGTATGCAAAAGGAATTCAAGTTAGTTATTATCCCATCAGTTTAATTATTCATCTACCCAGTTCCTTATTTTATAAATAAAATTATTTTAGAAGAAAATAATAATCAAGTTTATCCCTGCTGTTGTAGCTTATTGAAAGGCAGAGAATTGCAGCAGTAGAAGACAGCAACATTTAGCTAAGTTTAGCAATCTTGGAATCAAACACAAAGCTAACCTTATGACTTGAATACAACTGTCTATTGGCGACTGTCACCTGAAGCCAAAACTTGCAGATGTAAAACCCCACTTCTTTATAGCTTTATTTAGGAGGATGACATTATCTGCAACAGCCTCAAGTCTCCAAATGGTGCAGACCTTTGAGAACAGGCTGAGCCACAGACAGAACCTAGACATCCTAAAATACCGGATTTAATTACCATTTCTAATCAATCCATCCATTCAGCAACTTGAATTTCTTTTGTGGTGGGTCACTATAGCCCAGAAAAGTTAAAGGCCTACAACTTTTAGTTAAGTCTTTTTTTCTCTATGTCAAAATTTAGTTCTGTAACAGACATGTTTTGGTTAGCTACACATCTTCAACAAAAGGGTGAATACAGGAGAGTAAACACCTGGAATAATGTAAAAGGAGGATGGGATGGGAGGACAATGGAAAACATCTTCATAAGCAAGAAGGTTTTCTTACCTCCCACTTTACAAATATGGTTTGAAACCAGAAGGAACAATTACGATGTTTTAATTTCTGCTGTTGAAAGTATCAATTCAGCATGTTTTACCTAAACAGTGTATACAGTTCCCACAACTGCTTACCAAGCAACCAAAGTTTCTGCTATTTAGCTTTCTAGATTTTTATTCAACTGCATTTGTCTGCTCAAATGGTAGTCACATCCCACAGCAGCATGGTGCTTAGCTTTTAGCATCTTTACAGGAAAGAAATTTTCAGTAGCTCCCTGTGGTATGTTTTTTTAAAATTTAAATGTCACAATCACTGTTCCATGCTGACATGTCTTTCCTTAGTAAGATTTAGTGGTTCTTTTCCCAGCTTTATCCCTAAATTAACATCTATATTTTGATTTTTCTTTATGCCCTTTTTTTGACTAAGGTAAGAAACAAAATATAAGAACACACGCATTCCACATGAGTGATTTTTGGAATCATGCACAGATAAAGTAGCAACTACCAACTACAGCACTGAGTACTTGGAAACTGAGACAGCTAAAATGCAAGATTTGATTGACTATGCAACACTAATGCTAGTGAGGAACTACTTCAGATATTCTGTGAAGATGTGAAAGGAATTCACTTCATAAAGGTAAAATAAAACAAACAAAAATCAGATGTTTTATGGAATGAAAGTAGAATTTTTCTGAAATACCACTACTACATTAAAATGCATAGTAGCTATATTACATTCAAGTAAAACTTTTACCTATAAATCAGTAAATCTTCAATCACATATGCTTTTGAGATCAACTACTTACAAATATTTTTTGAGTATTATGTTAATACTTTTTCAGTCCTGAAAGATTTTCAACAAATGCAAGTACTGGAGAAAAAGCTAGTTAGAATGCATAATTTGAAATTGTATGGATAATGGAAATATAAAGATAATATGAATCATTTGGTTGTATGCACAGCATACAGGAGAAGATACCTCCCTGCCCACTCTTCCCAGTGCCCAATGACTTCTGGAACAAACTTTTGTTTTTCTTTTTTTTTAATAAGTCCATAAAAGCCAAGAATTTATAAAAAGTACATGCAAGTCTATTTACATTAACAGATCAAGAAGCTGCAAACTTTCCATAGTATACAGAAACAATGTTTTTAAAATTGTGAGTTTAAATAAAACAGGACACCAAAACTAACAGCTAAGGTGACAACAGCAGCTTTGCTGACTGCTGAATTCCTGGTTTGTTGCTGGGATAAGTAGAGATGCATGAGAACATGACACACAAACCAATCCATATTCCATACAGATCTGAAGGAAAAAGAAAATTGGTTTGTTTTTACTTTTTTTCTGACCCACTTCAAGCCAACTTGGGCAGTTGCAGCCCAAGTTCCTTGTTTCACCATTTTTTGAAAGAGGGAATGTAAGTGAATATAAATGGGATCACAGAAAGATGTTAGGAGAAGTCCCATCTTCAAATGCTAGTAGGAAAATAAAGATTTTTGAATTGTCTGCCCTGCCTAATTCCAGCCTCTGAAAAGCCAAGAAGCACCACTTCTGGCAAATCTCTACAGAACCTCTATCACTGAGCAAAAAACAAGAGGAACAGCCATTGGAAGTCTCTAAACATTTTTTTTTTTTTTACAAAAAGTAAGTCTGTATTATTGTTCCACCATTCATCTTTTAATATTTGTACTTCCACTTAAGGTAAACAAGATAATTTCACAGTGAACAAAAAAGCTAAAACTAGCTCAGCTTTCCATAGGGATAGGAAGGACATTAGGCATACATAATTATTCCTAGCTTAAACCATACAGTAATTTAATGCTGCTACAACAATGTGGTTTTCTTCTCAAAATATGTCCATATTTTCCACCTTAAAATTTCCTTGTGCAGCACACTAGGACCTTGTAGACAGACCCAATGTTGTATTTGGATTTGCTACAAATAACTGCTATTAGAACTTAGCCAACTGTCAAGAAACTTTGAGTTTTCCCAACCTATAGAAGATGAATGACATGTAACTTCGATATATGCTCCAACTATGCCCAAAAATCATTATGGTGAGAAAAATACAGTGACACCCTTTCCCCTCTGACCAGCTAACACCCCAGTCTTTATCAAGGTATAAAATTTTAAGTGGTAGGAGGTAACTGGTCATAAATCACAGTGAAACATATGAACATTTAGTGAGATTTCAATTTTATGTCCACAACCTGTGACAAACCTGTAACAGTTATTGTTGCCTCAGTTTTAAGAAATACTGTAGAGCAAGCACTTCCAGTGGCGTATGACATTGTAACTGGATTGCTGATTATGGTGTTAATGGGTGCTCTGTAATTTAGCAAGTTTTCCGTAATTTTCAGTTGTCAGTAAACTCAGTATCCTGCTACACTTTCCATTTTTTGTAGTTGAACCTTCATGGTATTAGAACTCTTTCCCAAGTTAAAGATTACAACAAAATTCTCACTGCTGATGCAAATTACAGAAAATGATTCTGATGCACTTGTCAGTACCAGTAAATCTCTCATGCTAACTACAATCATCTCCCCTCCGCCCCTTTTTCTTTTTTTGATGGCACACTGTGTACCCTATGACCATTCAAGTAATGAACAGGAAATCAAGGAAGTAGTTTTCTGCAATTTCACAGAAATCAAAGTCTTACAACCCATGGCAATATCCATGGTTCTTACTGTAATAAAAGGTCAGTATATGTTCTTCACCCCATTTACATTAAGATTTCTTTTGAAGAAAAGGTGCTGACAGTTTGTATTGTTTCATCTGTGAGGTAGATGGCACTTTTATATAAATAGTGTAAATCACAAATTAAGTTAGCTTTAAGCCTGCAACAAGTCCTGCACCACTGACTGTTCAAGGCATTAATTAATTCAGGAATACGAAATACTTCAAACTGTTCAAAGTCACACAGTGTTCCTCCTTTGAGAGGAGAAGGGTGGTCAGCTAGACACAGAGGTGCCTTCACTGATCAAGGGTCATCGGAATTCTGGCTTTAGCCTCCAGACTCCTTCCCCGTTTGGGCTCCTGTGGAAGGTGCAGATATTGCGGAGCAGTTCTCTAAAGACACAGGAGTGCTCTGCAGGCAGCTTGGACTCAAACTCCTGCAGCAGCTCCCGAGTGCTGGCCTCGCCGTCCTCGCGGGCCTGGAACGCCAGGAAGTTCCGCAGATCCACCAGCAGCTCATCGTATTCTGTCGAGCCCTGGACTGGGGCAGGTGCTGGCTGATCATTCTCATCACCCTCACTCCTTGTCTGTTGCGGTAAAACAAAGTGGTTTCTTGCCCTCATACGAGCTAATAAAGATGAAGAGTCCAGAGCACTGGATGATGATTCTCCAGATTTTCCATTGAAGTGCTCACTGGAACTACACTTCCTTATATTTTGTTTCTTTATTGTATCTCCATCCTGCAAATAAATACACAAGCTAAGGGGAAAGTTGCATTTTGAGACCCACAGAATCTATTAAAGAAAATCTGCCTGTTGTTTAGACTTGAATAACAAACACCACCACTCAGAACTTGGTCATCTGAAATAGACCATAAAGAGGTGATATATTCTGGTCTCAACTTTGGAACTTAAGAAGCAAAAGAAAAGCTTTGCTAGTTTTTTTTTCCAGATAGATATGCAAACCATTGTGTAATTTGTGACTGCTGTATCTAACTAGCCTTCATCGAAACAAAAAATCAAAGTCATAGGTAACTAAAACTTCTAGAATTCTACATAATCACATAACAAATGCATATGACACATCTACAGTGTAAGTTGGATTTATCATATAAATTGTAACAATTCACATATGTCAGCTATTAAAACAGAAAGGTTAGCTTGTGTTTCTCACCTTGTGCTTCTTTGCAGGTGATGCACAACTGGAATGTGAAGAAAGCAGCATGGAGTTTCTTTTTTGACCAAACCGACTCCTAAAAACCCATGAAAGAATTAACTTCATGAAACATCCTTCTCAAAAGGACAATGATAATTTTTTCAAAGACAGACTGGATTTGTGTTTTAGGGTTCTCAAGAGCCCTCTGCTAAGCTCTCTTCTACTGTGCAACAATAATGCTTTCTTTGTACTTCAGAGCAGACTACCTACGCTTGTAATACGCTTTCATGCCTATATTAAATATAAAATATGCACACAACTGATGCATGTTACTACAAAAACTAAGACAAAAAATGTGTATCTAACATCCTAAGCAATTCCTCTATCTTTGGGAAAGCAGAGTGAGAACTGAACTCACTTTATTCCTGATGGTGCACCTGAAAGACCACTTGTGCCTGTCCAGGTTGGCACACCAGAAGCAGCTCCTAAACATTGCTGACGAGAGTGTCTTAGGGCTCTCAAGGCATCCTGGGCCACTCTGCTTGCTTCTGCTTCCTCCAGCACATGATCTGCACTGGAAGCATCCATAATGGCATCATGCTTCATAACACTGTGTACCCCTAAAACCAGAGGATAAAAAAGGTGAAGGAGGACATATCTTAATTTATGTGAAAATCAAATATTCACTTTTTAAGTGAATGCCACAATTGCATTTTTCCTTCTTCAGGGTAATTATATTAAGCACATCAGTATAGTAATTTCTAATGAGAGAACCCCCTTCTTTATCAGTTAAGTAATCAATCTGACCAGCAAATCACTTCTGGTGTGCTGATGAGGTCATTATTCACAACAGACCTGGCAATTATGTGGGCAAATTGATCATTTCTATTGTTATGGACAGGACAGACAGAAGTGAAACCCTTGTGTAAATGAAGGTTGATTACACCCTGAAAATATCCAGGAGAAACGCTGCATATACTTCCATATCCAGAAATGAGGATCTCTCTGAACAGTTTGTGCCAAGGTAATAGCCATTTTTTAACTGGACTTAAAGTCAACTGGAATTAAATTTAACTTAAATCTAAACCATGACCATTTTAAGTTTCACTAAAGTAACAGAACTAACTTGTTTTTTATTGTAGCTCTAACCATCAGAGTACTCTAACCATTAGAGTAAAAGATCTGCTCTTTCTCTCATTTGCTTAGGTTTTATATACCTCTGTTTAGTCAGCAGCCAAACAACTGTTACCTGATTTTTTGAAAAGTTTCTGCAAGACATAGTCATCATTTTTCTTTGAGTCTTGCTCTTCACTGTTCTCCCTTCTGTATTGCTTTTGTTTCACTAGATGAGGAATGCGTTTTCCTTCAAATCTGGCATCTTTGTGATGTTTCTTCTTAGACTTATCTCTGTGGCTCTCATGTGACAGCGTATCCACCTTGTGCTTTGTTTTTGAGATACACTTCAAGTGATTACTATCAAACTGCTCATCTTCAGTTTTAGCATCTTGCTTTTCCCAAGAGATAGGTGCATCACAAGTGAGGCTAAGATCTGTCCTGACATCTGCATTAGTCGCTCCATGTCCCTCACCAGCCACCACGGCAATCAGACCTTCTGCATTTGCTGCAGACCCTGCACTGCATGGCACCGACTGGGACATGCATTTGTCATCACTTTCCAAGCATTCCTCCTTGCTTTTATTGAATGAACTTGTATCAGCAGCAGCTTGTGCATTATCTTTTCCGTAGCTATTTTGGTCAAAGGCTTCCAAAGTTCCCTTGGTTTCCTCACTCGTCTCTATTGCTTTAGAAGAAGAATCTTTCATGTGTGTGGTGGAACAGGAATTGAAGGATTTCTTCTTCTTGTGTGAGCTGCTTTCTGCAACATGGACATCACATTTAGAAGTGCCATTAGCAGGTGGCTTTGGGACTTGAACATCTGAACCAGTACCTGAAGGATGAATAAAATTAGTATCCATTCAACAAACAATTAAGACATTTTTTCTTCCAAACAAATAGAAAAAAACCCCATGTACCTGCAAAAATTGCACTTGTTTCCGTCCCCTGAGACACATCTGGGCTGTTCAGAGTAAATAGTTCATAAAGGTCATTGGATTTGAAGAAGCGATTCTGCTTAGGGTCTTTCAGCACTCTGTTTGTTAAAAATTGTTTGAAGATTTGCCTAAAAAAGAATAAAAAAAATATTTTGTGCGTGAAACAATGTCTAGCTATGTTTAAGTACTGAGTACAGTACTTAAAGAGAAAACTATAAGCACAAACATTACCCTGCAGAACAATTAAGCAGTGGGAAGATGATGTTAGTTTCCAAAAGACCATCTTGAGTTAGTAACTTTCAAACAACCAAGTAATTTGCTAAACACAGGGATTTATTATTTTTCAACAACCTCATAACACAATAGGTAACCACTATCCTGAGATGTCTTATGGGGCATCCCCTAACTAAGCAATAAATAACTTCACAGCTAGAACTTTTTTGTCCATTAAAATTGAAAAGCTTGCCTATGTAGCAATAAAACAATCAGAAAGCTCCTGAAAGAAAAAAAGCTTGTTAAAATGACAACATTTTATGGGTTCAATTGATTGGAGGAATCAAAAGCAGCAGAGTAGCTCAGTCTGATGGTGATGACTGGATGACAGACACTGAAAAGGAGAATCAGACTTGTGGCTGAGGAGAAAAGAGCCCATCCGCAGATGACCAAAAGGAACAAGTCTGTAGGAGAACAAAGCTGCAAATAATCTTCTAGTATTGGTAAAACTGCTTCTATGCCATATTTGTACTACATAGTGCCTAAAGCAGTATCTGTTTTATTCTGTACAAAAAGTACATCCCTAAATCGAACTGGAAATCAGTTCTCTCAAACAGTTTTATCACACTTTTGGTTCTGCTGAGATTAAGCAGGGAAACTATTTTTAAATTCAGTGGTCAAAAAACCAAGCTTTCATTTACAGGCAAGAAAACACAGGAAAACAGTAAGTGTGGGCATTTCATTATTTAGAATTTTTTGTTCTTCTAAATTTTCCAAGAGGGTATTTCAGTCGTCTGGAATTCACGTGAGTGAAGCTAACTACTGAGAAAGCTGAATGGGAAAGCAAACCAAAAAGATTTCATTGATTTTGAAATACAAGCACTTCAAAGGTTTTAGCTACACTTTGGAATAAATAACATGAATATGACTGGTAGTTATTGGGATTTAATTCTTTCACTTTGGAATGAATTGGGAATAAAATCAAATTGGGTTTGCACAGTAGTAAACACATCTATGTACCACATACATCTTGATACATCCCAAGGAGAATATAAAGAACTTGATGATTTAAATTTGCATTTCAGACTAGTTGAGTCTCATGTTTTGAATAAGGTGCTCACTGTTTTCTGTCTATGAGTCATACTATGTTTTACAGTGAATCCTGGATGTGCTGGACACAGCTGCTGGAACAGACTGATAATGTATATTTAGCACATGGGTCTTGCTGCTAGGGATGGAGCAGTACACCTGGAAGTCTAGTATGAGAAAAAGGTTCTCCATTTCTCAGTAAAAACTTTGAAAGTTTTCTATGATTTGCCCATCATCACCAAGGTTGGGAATTACAAGCAGTGTGTGCATATGCACAGTTATGTCACTGTTACACCACCCTGGATTTGCTCAAAGCATTTTCTTCATGCAGCTGTATCCAAGAAATCATTCTGACTGACCTGTGGTATATCTTCTCCTCTATAGTCCCTGCAGTGAGCAGCCTATACACAGTCACCTCTTTCTTCTGGCCTATTCTCCAAGCACGTTCCCGAGCCTGGAACACAAAAGGTTTGGTTACCAGATGAGTCTCTCCTCGTGTCTGACAGAGACCTAATGATAATACTCTTTCAAACTTAGTTTGGATATTTAACAAATACTTTAAGAAGTGGCATATCTAGAACATAGGATAATTAACTCAGCAGGAGAGGAAAAAGATCTAGAAAGTCTGCATTTGTACCAAGAAATCAATGCAAAAATTATCAATAGATTATGTTAAAATCAGAACTTTTACCTAGAATATGTACTTTATATAGACTTATTCCAGAAGGAAATTTCACAGTAGAATGTTAAAACACACCTCTCCTTTGAATTTGTCTTCTTTAACTTAACTGAAATCTTTCCTACAAACATCTTGAACCAACCACATTAGACAGAACTCTAAGTCAGACACTTGCAGATCTCAGAGCTACATCGGATTTCTACAAAAAGGCTTTTTCCTCTCAAACTTGTAAGCACCATATAACTGCTATGTGATTTGATAAATCAGTCTTTCCACACCATGAGATAAGAAAAATTAGCTAGAAAAACTTCTAGCTACTTAGAGCAGCTCTCCAAGGTCACAGCTACATATCATTATCTAGTGAGAAAGCCAATGGGAGCAGCATCTCTTCTCCTTTTCTCACCCTGCATTGTCATCACCAACACTCCTGCCTGTTCAAGAGCTTGCACAGCTGTACTTTCCCTTCAGAAACATCTGGTTCATTTATTTTAAAAACACAGGCCATTTGAACTGTTTGTATGACTGCACTGTAACTGACTACATGAATCAACAATACTGAAGAGTGGTAAGGTATAACAGCATATAGGGGATGTGGTGGGAACCACTTAAATTGGCTTTGCCACAAGAGCAATCATAACGTGGAGCTGCACCCTAAGTGACCATTGCTGGGAACAGCAACTTAGGAAAGAGCAACATAGTGCTTTAACAGTACTTGAGGAGATAACTGTCATTTTGTCTTCAGTTTTATTTCAACTTAGCTGGTAAATGGAATGTAATAAATCAAACTCACCTGTGTGTCTACACTGGGATTCCAGTCAGGATCATAAATAATAACCCGGTCAGCACCAACCAAGTTAACTCCAATGCCACCAACACGAGTTGTTAGAAGAAAAAGAAATATGGATTTGTCCTGTGACACAAGAGAGAATTTACTAAAGCAAGAATTAGCAAAATGTAACATTAAAAAAAAATAAATTTTCCTGGATTATTTTATCAGCATATATGCAAAGATGCAAAGGAAGCCAAGAGAAGGAACACATTTCCTTGCTCATCTAGTATTTCTTTTGACAAATAAAAGTAGTCTGATCTAAATTTCATTTACTGTTATCCAAAAAATTGCTTTTCCCCTTTCTCAAATATTTTCTTATCAGAAAATCCAACTTACGTATGAAATAAGAGATTACTTTTTTCCCCTCTCTCAGAAAGACAGGGGTTTCATTTCACTGAACTCCCCAGTTTAGTGTCTCCAACCTGAAGTAGTATATTTAAAAACAGAACAAAAAGGATTGGAAGAACTTAATCATAGTCATTAATATGTATTCATGTGTGGGATGGAACATCTCACCTCATTGTATTTTGTTACAAGAGGCTGTCTGGAAGCTACTGCTGTGGTGCCATCCATCCTGAGGTAGGAATAGTTTCTGTATCTCACAAAGACTTCAAGTATCTGCATCATCTGTGGTGATGGAAAAGATTTAATGAAATCCAGTCATGAAGACTCAGCATCTGTATGATGAACCTATAAGAATTTCTGGTACTAACTGCTGTATCAATCAAACAAACAATGACAACAAAAAACTGGAAACACTTCCTTAAATGACAGAAAACAGACTTATGTAAATGGAAAAAAAACCAAAAAAACCACAGCTGAATGCAGTAGAATATTTGAGTTTGGTTTGGAAGTCCAGGGCCATAGCTGCTTTAAGATAATTAAACATCCCAAGGAAATCCACAAAAGGAAGACAAAATTGTGAGTACACAGGGAAAACAAAGGTCACTGCCTGTGCCACTGTCCCAAAGGGAGCGATTCTGAGGACCAGCTGTGCATAGGCACTACACAGAGCATGCAAAGTGACCACCAACTGTGTGCTGAAACTACACAGCAGGGACAGCCTGGGACCACATGGTACAGCTGGTACAGCTTTGGCCAGTGTATTGAAACCGGGCCACTGCCACAATGCTGTGTCATTCCAGTAAAGCCCACTGAGTTTGGAAACTGGTCTCTGATTATTCCAGAGACTTCAGTCATTTCAGTAACATTTTCAGTAAGATATTGATTTTATGAGAAAGACACTACAAAAGGTGGTTCTACTTAGAGGTTTTTTGGAACTCTCACACACGTTTTAAGTAATAGTAACAGATAAAACTAAAAATAATTAGCTCATCTTACCTGTCTCGACTGAGTGAAAAACAGCACTCTGTGACCTTGCTTGTGCCATATTTTCAGCAGGGATTCTACCACTATCATTTTTCCAGAACGTTTCCAATATCCAAACTGATTTGGATCCTCCGCTTCAGCATTTGGCACACTCTTTAAAATTCTGGGACTATCAGCAACGAAGTCAGGGTGATTGCAAATCTTTCTCAAAGTTGATAGTCCTAAGAGAATCTAAAGAATACAAGAGAAAAATATTTCTATTTTCATGACAAGTACTTATATCTATATGGCTTATGGAAAAAAAATAAACAGCAATAGATTAATCCACTCATCACTGATGTTTATTTTTAATAATGTTTTGATGCTAATACTTGTTTAAGGGAAAGTTTTAGGAAAAATCAGTACAAAAGAAAGTGACTGAAATTTTATGTACTTGTGAGCCTATTCTGGTGACAATGGTAAGGGAATTCTGTAACAATATCCACACTAGTAAAACAGTCCTTTCCTAGCTGTGAAGCCATGTTTTTTCTCACTCAAAAGGAAAAATGCCACTAATTTGTTTCTTGAAATGATCATGTCTTTCCTTCCAACTCGTACCATATTAGTAGGTAACTTAAGACAGACCTTGAGGATAGTCAGTATACCCACCAGAGTGCCTGATAACAAAGAATAAATGAATTAACATATTTGAACAAACATTCAAAACTGAAATTACCACTTTTGACGCCATGTTAGGAGGGTTCTATTCAGTTATTCATTCATTACTATATTACAAGTGTTATTTATACTTCTGAATATTCTGAAAAATGAACTAGCTGGAAACAGTGAATCGCTCAATCTTTTAGCACTAGAAGCTGGATGAGCCTGCCCATAATTTATGGTTTCTTTACAATGTTATTTTTCAGCTGGGATTTGCTGTTGTCATCACAGAATACCTAATAAAAGCATTGACATTTACTACTCAAAATTTTCAGACCCCTAGTAAATATAACCCATTTTGTAACATCTTTGGTAAATTTCTGCAGCTAGTCTTGTACAAGCCATCTCTAAAAGAACAAGCTCCTTAAAGAACTGTTCACTGGTATAACTAAAATGGCTATGCACTTGAAAAACTTGCCCACTATACCTTTGTGAGATCTGCAAAATTAAAAAATAAAAACAAAACAGTAATAAAGTCAATGTGCTCTGTGCATGGGACTGCAATACATATTGGCCATGCTGACCATACAACTGACTGGAGCCACTGGATATGCAGCAAGGACGGATTTCACAGTTCACAAGACAAGAAAATATGACAAATGACACATTATAGCCAACACATAATACCCCTCCTCCTACAAACAAGGGCTAAAATGGAAGGGAGACACATCCACTGCATGCATAAAAATGTCAAATGAACCAGATGTGTACAACGGAGGAGTTATAGGGAATAGCAGATTCTACACAGGCAGCAGCAGCCAGCAACTGAAAATGTATCCCAATGATGCCTTTCACTAGGCCACAGCAATTTCAACACTTACACTGTGAGAATGGAGGCAGAAGATGTTGAGAAGTGACTGCTATAACAGTAATAAGGATATTTGCTTATTTGCTCTACTTTCTGTTAATACTGTGAAATCATCAACTATTGCATAACAAAGTTATCACACCTGAATTGTACTCTCAGGACTAACTATGCTTTTCCTTTGCTTTCCTTGGGCAATTAGTTAAAAGCATGAATACAGTTACCTATAACAGGTCATCCAAAAAGCCACAATTTATTTCCAAGATCACAAACATATTGTGAAGCTCATTTCATTCTTACTTTTATCTGGTCATGTCACTACATACTAACTCAAATATATTTCATCTAACATTTTTGAGAAATAAAATAGACGACTACAAAAACTGAATAGAGATCAGTGTGTTTGTTCCCCTTACTGCTCAGAATCCAGCAAGAAGAGTGCAAGGGCCAGTCCATGATTTTATCCATCAAACCCTACCCATCACTATGCTTATTAATGCCCACCTGCATGTCTCCATTGAGAATCTGGTAAACTTCTTTAGAGTTGATGTAATTTTGATAGATTTGACGCTGCTCCTCTGTCAAACGGCAAAAGAGGACCTACAAAACAAACCAACCACTCAAGCCCAACCTGTGTGAATTTTAGAATTTCACCATGTGCTACAATGAAGCTTCACAGATGTCTGACATACTAAAATACTAAGGTAAAAGTTACTGCATAGAAATCACTAGAAATAAAAAAAAAATGTTTAGAGAATGATCATTAAGATGAGTTTGATGAGGTTTTATGTGCTCTTTCCCAGTAGTTAGATTTTCCCCTCAAATCACTTTAGCTTTGGAAGTGCTGCTTTTTTCTACTTTTAATGAGGTAACTGTGCAATGTTAGCATTTTCTCAAAGCTGTGTTTATAGTAAACTCTTTCCACTTTGTGTCTGTCACATCCCTTATAACTTGCAAATTCTCAGAAGTTTAGCAGATGTGGTCTGTCCTGTCTTTAGACCTTAAGCATGAAATATAATGATTTCTCAGGTGCTCTGATGGGCTAAAATTGAACAAAATCACTTTTCTGCATTCTGCAAGGCACCCAACATTATGCTGTAAATCAAACTCATGTAGTGCCCTGTGACTGGCAAGAGCAAAAATCACATTTGTTTATACTGTCTATGATCACATTCTTTAGATTAAGGAGCCCAGACTCTTTAATATCTAGACATTAAAGAGTTGGCTTAAAATAGTATATAATAGTATATAGTATATAAATATTATATTATAATAGTATATTATTATATTATAATAGTATATAGTATATAAAAATTAAAAAGTGGCTAAAAAAATGATCATTAGACTGCATATACACAGCCTACTTCTTTATTATGTACCTTTCAGCACTGTCTTACAAAAACTAACATGTCTACTTCTCTTTTAAAGTGAGATGACAGGAAAGGAGTCAAGACAGAACATAAATGCCTGAAGCAATGAAATCTGAAGAGAAGAAGCTAATAATTTCAACTGACTATTAGTAGGAATTTCATTTAACCAATACTTTCAACCTCCTCTACTTTGAATGAAAATGTTCCCTAAAGAAACATACCACCTAGTAGTAAATAAAGCAAACAAATTTCAGACCACAAGGCTAGTATTTTGAAAATTTATTATAATGTATAGGCCAGCTAGCTTGCAATATGAACAACTGCCGACAGGTATTTCTGTATTATTTGCAGCCCAAATTAATCTTTCTAGGACAGGAAACAATGCGGAATTGTTTCCTGCTGTAGAAAAGGAAACAGACAGACAACTCATTTCAATGCACTTGAGACCCAAGGGGACAGTATTAAGTAGCCCTGACTACACTTCATCTATCCTTTACTTTTTAGATAAGTGAACTCATACAGACCCTGCACGACAGCAGTAATTTAATACTCAGTACAATGCTGAACGACTATGAATCTTGAAAGCTCTACACCTTATCTTTAGTTAAACCACCATTTTATCTGATACTAGCACAAATTATTTCCAAATTTTCATGAAAGATTGTGTTTTGGGGAGGGAAAGGACTCAGATCTAGTAGTGAAAATAAGCAAACCTGTTCATTTTTATCTGGAAGTGAAAGGCTCATTTTTACATCAGCCTTCATTCTTCGTAGCAAGTAGGGGTTTATGGTGTCCCGTAACACACAGGCACATTTGTATGCAGTTTTTACCTGAAAAAAGGAAGAAAAGGCACAAGTTGTATTTTGGCTCTTGACATTAATTCTAGCAACTAACAAAATTAGCAACAGGAAAATCCTAATAAAATTAGATGTCTTATTTTACATGGATTTATAGTTACATGTTCAATACAACAAGAATTGCAATGAAATTCATGTTAGCAACAATAAAACTGAATAAGTAAGGCTTCCTCAGATACTTCAGATTTCTCTTTAAAAGAGAACAAAAGTAAGAGATTTAATTTAGAAAGCAAAGAAAGAAGTGAGTATAAATCTGTACAAAACCAAGATCCTCACGAAAAAGTGCTAATACATATACTGAAGATCAAAAAAGAAGCCTGCAGCAATGGTGGTTACCAGACAATAAGTGAAGATTAGTGCTCACTTGAGAATTAAAAAAAAATTGATACAAGAAAATCCCCATGGTCACAGAAACTAAAGGCCATTCTGGCCCTAAACGGAGTATATAGTTCTCTAAGGGGTAATGGATGTGTGAGATGGGTATTAGCTGTAATAATGGCTAAAAATACCTTAATTTGTCTTAAAACAAGGCAAACAATATAAATTATTGATATACAGAAACAATTGAAAGGCCAACTTAGTAAATTACTAATACATATACAAGAGAAGTACTTAAACTTGAAAAGAAAATAAAACTTCAGCAATGCATGCATGGAAAACATTACGAACAGCAGTTAAAAGGATACAAATTTAATAGCATTTATTTGAAACCTAGTTTGCAGATTATGATGCAGACAATTTATTTACTATCTAGTTAAAAATGGAAAAATATTTAAGCTGTCATCAATACTGAGAACCACAACTACAAAGATTAACAGACATTCAAAATAAATTCCCAAGTAATTTTTTGCTTTCTAAATTAGTTTATCTACTTCCAGACTTCCAACACCTAATGTAGCTTTCTAAAATAAAAACTGTTTCTAGACTGGATTTAAGGATTCCTCTTACTGCATAATTTGCCAAAGCTTGACAGCAAACAGGAGAAGTTCTATTTAAATGCATCAAAATGTGGGATCAGCCACCACCTACTCCAATTTGTTTATCTTCATACCAAAGAATACTTCTAATGACCTAAACTTTAGGGCTTTTGGCAAGAAAACTTTGTGTATAAGCTGCACTCCTGTATAAAAGAAACTGTCTCAGTTGAATGATGTTTTTTACACAACCAGCAGTAATGCATACACACAACTCTTTTTGGTTAGTGTCTAGAACATACAGCATTAAGTACATTCAGAAGTTGGTTTAAAAAACAACAGCAAGAGTTGGAACAGTTCCCTTCAAACAAAATTATATTTTGGATGCATTTACCTGGACAGGAGAGGCATTGCAGTATCCTCCCATGGTTATGGGGACAGAAAACTGCTCCATGAACACAGGGAGTGTTCCCAATTTTCCTGGGAATATAAAGTCAAAGAGGGACCAGAGCTCCTTTAGGTTATTTTGCATAGGGGAGCCAGACAAGATGATTCGATGGGGTGTACGGAACTATTAATAAAAACCACAAAACCAAAAGAAAGTTATTTTCATGGTTCCTGGTGTATCCTGCCTTCTACCTCAGAGGATATTAAACTTCACCATCAATAAATTCTCATGTCAAAATATGTGGCCTCACACTCATGAAAAAAACCAGATTTCTGCAATAGACTGTTAGCAGAAAATGCACACCAGCAATCTGACATTTATCAGTACTGGTAAATTACTATGCAATATCAAATTTCCAATTTTTTCCCTCTACCATACTTGTATAAATTTACCCATGTAAATGCATTGAAAATGTTAAATAAGTTAAATAGTCAAATACAGACCATTGTGATGTATGCTTTTATTTTTTATTAATGGTCAAACATACATTTTTATGATAGGCTATTAGATATTGGAACCTCCCTCCAGAGCACCTAAATTTATTTTTTATAAAGTACCTGCTTGCATGCAAGTGTGACTGCAGCATTTGGATTTCGGATTTTGTGACCCTCATCCAGAATGACATAATGCCAATCATACGTGTGGATGTCGTCCTGCATCAGACGGATGTACGAGTAAGATGTAATTAAAATTCCATGGCATGAAGCAATTTCATGAATTAGTTTCACCTAAAAACAAAAGGTGCATGTTGTCAGTGGGACAGAATCCTCAGATCTATACACAGAGATTTGCTATCCAAGGTATGTATAAAAAGCATTATAAAAACAGATCTATAGTTTACTTTGCAAAGAAAATAAGTATATGCAAGATTTTGATTATATGATTCTTAGCTCATATGTGTAAGAATGAAGCACTTGAATACCGTGTTACAGGAAATCAGAATTTACTAAAAGCCTGGTCAGAAGGAAACAGTGTTTTTTATTTTCAAATTTTTAAAGGCAGTGTCTGAAAAAACAAACATTGGATTTGATTAAGGTAATGAGTTTCTTCAAGTTCTCCTGTATTCACTTCACAAACCCAGCTTTGTGTACTGCAAGCAATAATATTAGAGAAAAATTAAACAAGTGAAATACTGAAAAACAAAAACAAAAATCTATTTGTTTAATCCTAAATTCTGTCTAACCTTTCCATTATAAGAGTAAGATAGTTGCTATCAATCCTCAAATTTTGTGGTTCTCTTGTAACCTTTAGCTTTTCCCCAAGTTTTTATTTGCCTTTATAGCTGCAAGTTATGTAGGGCAGGCACAGTCTATATAATTTTTGACAGTGTTCAGGACTAATCTTTAGTGCATTTATCCTCCATGTATAAATCTAGAAGACTTAAACAGCAGGTGATGAGAAGGGAAAAACAAAGTACAACCACCAAGTTTACTAAAGTAAAGACAAATGCCTTATTACTAGAAGTACCTCTAATCAAAACACAACCCACAAAAACCAATTAAAAAACCAAACAAAAGGGAAAAACCCATGTCAAAAACTCAGATGGTGTCAATATCCATGATCTTTTACTGTAAAACTACTTGCTCACCCACACCCCAAGATTCAAAATACTCTTTTGAGTTTAACTGTTCAAGAATATCTGCTTTCTGATTATCATCTCCTGATAAAACCACAACACATTATTAATGTTGGTATCACGACTCTCAAGAGAATATGTGATCTTTAGAATAATTTGTATTACAGACAGAGTAGGATTTCTCTGCAGGTGTGGACATCCAAAGCTTAATTCTACCTGGTACATTATCCATAGTCTGCAACTTTTCTCGAGTCTCAGCAATGGTCTGTCATAGAATATTGTAGACATCACTACCCAAACACTTAAGACAAATCATCTCGGGTGATTTAAAATTAAAAGCTTGTAAAATATGTAACCTCTCCTAATTTTTGCAATTAATAGGGTATGTCTGCAATTAGCCTGACTTACAGAATGCTACACTCTTGTCATTAAAAGATGTTTTGTGAAAGTGCTGCTGTTATTATGGAGGCTCAAGAGACCAATCCCTCCTAGAGGGCAAACAGTGGACTCGTAGAAAACAACAGCCATAAATCACGCTGTCAGGTAGCAGGGAGAACAGAAGTGAAACACAGGCACATGAAGGCCATTCATTGTAAACACACCAAGGCAGAATCCTAGTCAGGATTTACTGAACCTGTAATTAATTAAAGTTTCCTTCAAGCTAAATTTTTAATAAACAAGGATTTGTGCTGACAATGAAGAAACAGAACAACACAATTTTATCAACTCACACTACAACAATTACTAAATCTCATTTTACTGCATTTGGTACCTTTTCAAGGTTGCCTTCACTTTAAGTCCAGTTCTTGGAATAATTCTAAATATTTTAAAACATGCTGACAGATCTAATATTGGATACAAAGTCTTGAGGGTGTGGTATTTTATAATTTAAGCTATTTTACAATATTTTGTATATATAAAAATATATAAATATATATATAATATATATTAAAATATAATTTTATTTCTTTAATCCACAGTTTTCTTGTTTAATTAGATTAAGGCATGTCTAAATTTTATTTTTTCTCTGGAAATACACTTCAAGGAAATATTTCAGGTCATGCACTGCAACACTAAATTTAAAAAAGTGTGCTTGAAAGAGACAAATCCTACTAATGCCAGATTACACAACAGTTACCTAATTTTGAAATTCTGCACTCTGGCCTTTATCTGATGCTAATGAATAGAGGAACATGTGAGTACACTGAGTAATTATGAACTTGCATTTTTATTCAGCACAGTACTTCAGGCCTTTACAGTTCAGGGACAGTATTTTCTCCCAGCCTGGGGTGATAAATTGATGGAGTTGCCTTGTCTTCACTGGAGCACATGAGATGTACAAAGATAGGATGAATTTTGGCAAGCACCATTTCTTGCATCTAAAAGGTTCATGATTTATTCTAAGGACATATCTCCAAGCAAATACTTTTTTTTCCCTGTTGGTACCTCAATGTAACTACAAGTTTGTTTCTGAAGGTACAAAAACAGAACAATTTTTTGGACTGATGCTTACAGAAATAAGATTTTTTTTTTTTTATGGTCTTTTAAAAATATTTAAGAGGACCTGAAATCTGAACTCCCATGTATTGTGTATTAAAAATGGTAATTTTCTTAGACAGAAATGTGCATGTTAAAATGGAACTTAAAGACATAGACTAACAAGAATACAAAATTCAAGAAACATTCAGATATCTTTGAGGCAAGTCAGAGATAGTATCTAGTCACTTATCTAATAATATATTATTTGTGAATCAAAAAGTACATGCTTCAGCAGGTTTATCACCATCTCATAACCAACCATTAGGCCTGGGGATCCATAAATTCAACATATAAAACCTCTTTATTATTGCCCTGTCCCAACAAAAAACTAAATGGCACCACGAAGAGGCTTCAAAAAAAATATTATAATGTTTAATAATGTAAAAGTTGCAATAAAAAGAGCTAAAACACTTATTACATATTTAACAAGAATGCTACTTCTTGGAGCATGATACTAATTTTATCTGAGTTTGGTCCTTAACTCAGAAATAGAGCCTTTGGCTAAAGCACAGGTTCCATATGCAATCATGCCAGTAACTGTAACCTCTGAAACTGACGTTTTTACATGTAGACTATGTACTCTACTGTGAGGCTAGAAAGTCTAAAATTTTCCATATGTGAAATCATCTTTAAGTAGATGAACTTAACAATTACTTTCTAGGGCTGAATTGTGTGTCCTGCATTTGATCAGAATAAGGGAATGCAAAGCTACACATTTACAAACAGTATGTGACATCAGAAGGAATTGTTAACCTCAGTGATACAGCTTCTGAAGATTAAGAAATTAAAAGTTCAGCCTTGAACTTAAAAAATACAGCCTCCTTCCATACATCATATGTTAAACAAGATAACCAAAGTTTATGTTGCCTCTTATATTCTAGGGTTTACAAATGCTCATGTGCCAACAGAAGTTTTAAAACAACAGGACAAGCTCTCTGCTCAGAAGGCTTTTTTCCAAACACTGTTAAAAATTTTTCTCCTTACCTTCTGTTCTATACCATAAATAAAAAGCACTTGTGATACACTACATTAGATTTACTTCTTTTTTTTCTCTCAGGCCTAGAGGTCTCAGAGCACTTGATGCTTACAGATCAGATTTGAGTATAAACCACAGTAGGAGCTTAATAGCATAAGATGGCACCACAGGACATTTAGCCACAAATGCTATACCTTGTTCAAACTGAAAGCTGACTTCATAGGGAAAGATTATTACTTACATCTGGTTCCACCTACTGCTCCAACTTAAGCACATTTATCATTCTAGAAGAGCTAAATAATATTCTGTAATCACAAATAATGATAATTTAAAAAGAAGAGCAAGTTTTACATTTCATCCAAATGCCTTCAACAAGCTCAAAAGTCTTGGAAACCCCTCCCACTTGCTACTGTGTTTTCCTTCCATCATCTAAAATACCAATCTGCCTTCTCTTATAGATAAAGACCTTTAATCTTCAAGGGGTGAAATGGGAAATTTATACTTCCCTCCTCTACTGTCATACTTTTCTACCATTGTTATTTTAGGAAAAGAATAACATATGTCTCTTTTGAAGCTTTGCATATGCTAAAAACTCCACAAATATTTTAGCAGTGAGATGCCTCAATGACTGAGCTGAAACAGGCTGACAAAATTTGCCAATCTGGTGCTCACAATTCACACTGTCATTTCATACTATTATTGTGAAAATCCTGTAACTGCTTGCAAAGAAAACCAAAACAGACTGGTAAAATGGTAAAAATCAGAGAGTCTTTCACTTACCACGCTGCTCAAAGTCCATTTGTAACACTAAAGAAGTGTCACTAACTGAACAGATGTGGGAAGTATTGCCTAGAATCAACTGATGCAACAATCAGAACAGATGTTTTCCCTACTCTTCACTGTCAAGTGAAATACCTCTGTGGGCAACTTTGAAGAACTGGGAGACAGGCTGTTGCATCAATGCTTGTGCATCTTAGAAGGTACACCAGAAAATGCCTATTCATAAAACCATATGATTTCACCAATGTTGAAAGATTTAGTATTTGCTAACAGGATTCCTGACAATGATATGGGAAAAATTACATAAATCTATCTCACCTAAAACATCAAATTTAATCAAATGAAACTTCAGCTATTGTGTGTTTCTGCTATGAAATACTGTCTTACCTTATGGGACATCTGTCATTGCTTAACCCTTAACCCTTTTTCTCCAAAATTCTCATCCAATAGTTTTACAATTAATCTTTGTCCTTAGAAATCACCTATGCCTCTTCTATACACTTGTACATAATAAGCTGCAATACCACAACCTGCTGGCCAGCCACTACAGGATAAGGTAGCCCTCAAAATCCATTAAGATTTTCACTGTCTGATGTCCATTTAGTCTGGAGGACAGTAATGTTCCTCCACTGGTTCAGAAAACTGTAGCCTCTTCAGAGGCTGAAATGACCTTTCTCACTCCAAAGTTGGTAACAAAGTTTAATTCCCCAATTCTCTCTTGGAGCTGTCCAACAAAAAACTCTTCTCATTTACTTTATGATGAACTAGGATACACAAATAGAACAGGTGAACCCTGGAATTGTCAGTTAATTCCAAACAAGCTTGTGCCACATTGAGATTACAGGTGAACAGGGAGTTAGCTTTTGGCTAAGTAAAATTAATCTCAAAGAACTTATGCACTTTTTTTATATTTATTTAACTTAATTATTCTTTTATGTCTTATGCCAGGACTTAAGGGCAGAATGGTCCCTGGATGAGTATTACAAAGTTAAGATATGCAAAAGTGGTCTTCTGCAATGCCAGATATTATCAGCAAACAGAATTGTTGTAAGATCAGAACTAAATTATTCATAATGTATTTTGAAAATAAATCCTCGGCAGGAGTAAATCACCTGTCCTGTATTTTATGTGATATATTTTCAGTGCACAAGTGTTACTTATGCTAATTTATTAGCAGCAAACTTTTACTGTAGGCATAGGGGGGAGTGAAACAGGAAATTTGGGTTTTTTCCTTACTTTAGCTTGCTCTTTTCTGATTAAGAGGCATCTAGGAAAAAAATGTGCATGTGGTTAAGACCTTATCAGGGACACCTGTTTAAAGCACTACTGTAGCTCTTAGAAGATGAGGCATTAGGTTCAGTTCTCTAAATCTGTCCAAAAGTACTTGCATCTTTAAGTTTTGAATAGGCATTTGAAGGATGACAGTGGGAAGGTGAAATCTCAAAAACCTTACTATTCCTGCAGATGGAAAAATTTGAGTCAATCTGTCAAGTCCATTTATTAAGAAATATCCCAAAATAAGCACACATTATTTAATTTAGGAAGACATGCAACCATGTTATTGAGGTCAACAGATTTTTAGGGCTTGAAAACACACCAAATTAATTGAACAACAGGAAGCTATTAGCACATTAGAGTGTGCTACTCCTTTTTTGCTATGTACTGTAACTGCATCAATTACTTCAGAATACGTTTAATCAAGTGCAATTAAGCACCATATAATCTTAATGTTATTACAAGAAATTCAATAAATATTTAAAGAGAAATTTTAAAATGCTTTGCTGAATCCTGAAAACTCATTTAAACATTTGAAATATAAGACTAAGGGAAAATAAAAATCTAAGTTTTCCTTGTTTTGTTCCTGCAAAGTTTCAAACTTCAGATAAGTCAGGCTTTCCAACTTAAGAAACAGACTAAGAACATGCATATGAAGAGACTGCCAAAGAAAACTGAAAGACAGAAAGGGCACTCCTTAAAACAACTGGTGAGTGATACCAAGTGACAGCAACCAACTGCAGAGAAATTACCCATGCATGCAAAACACATTAGATATTGGATCAATGACATAGTGATGCAAAGAAATGCAAGAAGAGAATTCACATGTGTTATAAGCATTTATTTGATGTACAAGCAGTGTAGTTTAATTCCTAGCATGGACTACAGCACAAGGAAAACTCAAGCAAGAAACCTGTTACTATGTTTAACTGGTTCAGGCAATACAAGTCTTCATCATAATAAACATGTATTCTATGTCAACCCCCTTTTAGTCCAGTTTACTATGAAATCTATACAAGACAAGGGACTTTTTGTTCTTTTAATACATTCAGAGAAAGGGCACAAGAAGCCCTTTCCTACACAGAAGCATTAAGCAATTAAGCAGCAGGGGACATTTTTTTGGCTAGGAAAAAAAAAAAAAAAAAAAAAAAAAAAAAAAAAAAAAAAAAAAAAAAAAAAAAAAAAAAAAGCCTCAAGAATTTCAAAATGAATGTCAATCATTACCTTACTCTTTGTATAAGAGCCAGTTTCATGAAGCACAGCAACTCTAAATGGAGGCCACCAAGTATGGAATTCTTTTACCCACTGATGCAACACAGTAGCTGGACAAACAATCACTGTTGGACCCAATCCCTGATACCTAAAATAGAATATTCAAGGAAAAAAACCCTTAATGTGAAATAAATAATCTGTATTAAGTGGCTCATTATAATACACACATATTAAAATGACATACTTTATGGTTTAAGTGGAATATGAGAGCTATGGAAATTAATTGGCAATTTGTTTTCCTGGAAGTCTGTTTTTTAGAGGAAGATGAAGAGGTTACTGCTAAAAGAATCCACTCATTGAACAGTTAATGGATGCATCTATCAAACTAAACAGGAATAGAAAAGCTCCAAACAATAAGGCATAAGGGAACTTCCTCCTGTGATATTACAAATCAGGTTTCAGTGACTGCTGTTTCTATAAGCAAAAAGAAATCATTAACAAGCAATTATTTTATTACTTCTATTATACAGAATGTGCAGAATGTGTAGCTGGAGTCTCACAAATGAACTTACACACAGGTGTTCTGCTTCATGTCGGTAATATACTGTACTTTCATCACCATAGTTTATTGATAAAACAAGGACTCTAAAGTGCAGACTATATCATCCATGCATGTTGAGATCTGAGCTTGCCTCAAACTCTCATAATTTTCTTATTCATAATTATATTACTGTTTCTGAGAATTACTGAAGAAGTCTGAAACAAAGTCTATCTGTATATGAAGTTCAGAGCTGCTCTTAAGATTAAGAAGGGAAAAATCCTTGCACACCATCCAAATAAAAAAATACTACTGCCACAAATAAGCATCAACAATCCTGTAATAAATATATTAAGTAGTGGTTACTAGCTGTTATTTTTCAAATATATTTGCTCTTTAAAAACTGGAGAAAAATTACTCTGCAAACAAAGGCCATCACTTCAGTTATCATACACTGATCTGTGTCTATGTACTATCCAAGGGACACTAAATAAACAATGCAAAAGATGACAGTATACATTCAAGATCATACACTGATAGCAATAAAGGATTTCTCAGACACCAGCAACACCTTGCTTAAAAAAAACCTAAACTCATTAACATCTTCAGAAACTGCTGACATGAAGAAATAATACTCTTTATTAAAAGCTTATACATATGCAGAACAACAAACCTGGATATTGATTATTATGAACAAATACTGTAACACAACCTTACGTGGTCTAATTAAAAAAATCTTTGCAATCCAAAGGGAAGTAAGAACTTGGAGGCATGAAAAATAACTTCAACTATGCTACCAACCCAAATAATCACTGCTACTGCTCTTAAAAATACCCACAGCAAAAAAGCCAGCTTTCTCAGAACATACTAGTTTCTCACTCTTCATGGGTAGTAACAAAATACATCTGTTTATTCCCCTGGTCTGTATTCACACAAGCTCACACATAAGGTTTATCCAGATTTCCCCCCTCTCAGCTTACACAAAGAGTTCACACCTCGTTGGATCAATTTTCAGAAACTCCATTCCCTCCCTACTTGGCTGTGTGAAAACTCTTCTGTCTAGTCTGACTCTACCCACTTTCCACTAGCCAACATTTTATTATTCTCCTGAGAGCTTTTATTTATTTATATAAAAGAGTCATCTAGCTTCTTCCAGTCTGAGCTGTTCCACAAAACAAAACAAATCATATACTTCTGCTTGCTACACTTAGGAGGCATCCTTCATTCTCCTAATCACTGCAAGACTGCAAGATCTGCTCTGCTGCCTATCCAATTTATATTTGCTTTCCTTGAACAAAGGTGACACTTAAAACATTCAAAACCGAAGTCTTACTAAGATAATAACACTGCCCTGTTCCTACTTCACATATATTGCCATATTGTGTTCTGTCCCTTTTTCACAGCTGCATTGTACTAATAGCTTATGGTCAATGTCATATTTGGTCAATATATAAAAATCTCTTTCTTCTTCTGTTGCTTCTGGTTTATAAAGCCGAAATTCACAAGTATCCTTTATTTGTTGTTATTTATTTGGATGCAACTGGAATTGCATGTAAGTTCCAATTCCTGCAATTTACTACCAAGAAAAACCAAACTGTATTAATGCTGTATTTATAATCTTTAAACACTCAAAAAGTCGGCACAGGAAAACATGTTTCATTATAACAGAATGTTTCCAAGGACTGGCAAATCATGTTTTCAAGCTGAAACAGTAACTAAAGCATAGTGAAAATAAGAGAAAGGGGCAGCAAGAGCAACACACTTTTTCTGGGGCAATGGATTTTTATTTACCTAAGCACCATGGAAATTAATCTCTGCCACTCAAAGTAGAGATTGAGCTGTTTATATTTATGCCTCAGTATCCTGAAGAGCACAGATGGGTAAACAACCAGCGTTTAACTTTCTTATCAGTTTCTCATCTGATGTTTCAAATAAATGAAGGCAAGTCTGCAGTGAAAGGTTTTTGTTACACATTAAGGTAAGGAAACCCAAGCTAGGCTGGAAGACACTGACAGTGCTGAAGACACAGCTTTGTCCCCTCTTAGTGCTGGCTTTGCAGAGAGGAAAGTCTCCTGCCTGTCAGACTACACTCTTTCAAGTAGAAATAAGTTAACCATACTACTGGTAACCAGTGTTACTGCCTTCTCAGCCCAGGGGAGGAAAACACTGGACTATGAAAGATGAAGCTGTTTAGACTGTCTGCCTTACAGCATCATACACACAAAATCAGAGCAAGCTTCACCAATATATTAAACCTTGTTTCCTCCCATGGAATTACTGTAATGATAGACTCACTGACATGCACCAGCCAAAACATGAAACTCAACACATCATCTTAAATGCAGAAAGAGCACAGCAATTTAGATGGGCAAATTGATTTTGGCCTTTTCAAACTTTTACTGTAGTTTTGCGCTATTTAACAGTGTCAAGAACGTCCCTGAAGGATTTCCATCAACTCAGTGGTCTCCCAAGTGGGGCAGGGAATATAAAATAATCTGTACAATAGCATCCTTAACCAGGCAGCCATATTAAAGTAAAACAGCTGGCCTGAGTGAAGGATCTATGGAGTTTATTTTTATATTAAGATTATAGTAGGAAGCAACCAGAGACAAAACAGGGATATTTTCTCTTTAAAACATTATTTCACAACTCATGTACAAGCTAAACATAATTTAAATGTACCTCTATATAAAGGAATTAGTTTTGTTTAGTATAGTACTGTGATAGTTGCTAAATTTCATGTAGCTATTTACATCAGGTAAGAAGGCCAACAGAAGTAGAAAAATCAAGTACTAATTATTTGTGCATTTGCAAATCTGAGGACACAAACAAGTACCTTGCTAGTAATTCCACCTATGAAGGAGAAATTTTAAAGCATTGCTCAGTAACAAAAAAACATAAAATACCTTATTAAAAAGGCCAGTCATACTAGCATATGTTTTTAAAAGCAGCAACAACAAATAAAATAAAAGCAGACGGAAATTCCTCCACATAAGTTACTGGTTTTTACTCTTACTAATTTTTGGCATGGATAATTCCCTGCCCATCAGAAACTCTAACTTTCATTGCAAATCAGCTTGCTACTTCCTGTAAAACATTTACCTGGTGGCTTGCCAGAACAAATATTTTAATGTAAAATTTAATAAATGGAACTAAAGGTATTACATCTAATTTAAAATTCCATATTGTGTAAACTATTGATATTAATGTAATTGAGTTTGTAAACAATCCATTTGTGGAAGGTAACCTTAGACACTGTATTGACCCAAAATATCTAGTGTGGCTCATCTGCAAAATGAAGCATCAATGCCTGGAATTCATTAAAAGTGTTACATGTTTAATTTTTCCTGCCCTACAGCTCCATTGTCTCGTAAAATTTTTCCTTTGATGTCCCCCACTAAAAGAATTAAAGGAATATTGTAATTGAAATATCATTAATAATTCACAGGACCCTCCTCCACCAGTAATACATCTGATGAAATATTAATTGAGCTCCACAGACTGACAGTCTGCAGAGAAGCACTTGCCTGTAATTTGAACCACGAGTCCTCATATTGCTGTAGCTCAGACCTGCCAAGAAGGCAATTATCTGAATGGTCTTGCCCAATCCCATCTCATCTCCCAGAATTCCTCCTGCCTGCTGGCAGTGCAATTCCCAAAGCCACCTAACACCTGTCTGCTGGTACCTAAAACAAGGAAAAAGAAGATGGCAAATGTTTGATAATACAGATCATAACAGAAAGTACTCATGAATTAATCATTTGGCAAGGTTCTCATACCAGTTACTGTAACATGCTGGATGTGTGTTTTACATGAATGCTGTATTTACTAGGTCATACATTTTTGATGCACTCAGACATTACATGTGACTTTTGTTCTTTATGCAACACTAAAACATTTCTAATTAAACCGGCAGTCATCGTAATTAGAGGGTATTTTATTTCATATATATTTTAAGTGCTAAAAGTAACTTTGAAAGTTACTCTTATGAAGCATTATCTTTTCAGATACGACAATGTGCAAGGGTCTAGTAAATAGTATTATTTGGAACATATTCCGTGAACTGAAGGAAAAGGTTGACTTGTAAGGGGTACAGACTTCATATTCTACTACAAAAACTGATCACATCTGCCAAATCATGCTTTTTTTAAACACAAATGTATTTAATAACATTTAATCTCTTTCAATGAAGAAAAAAACAAAGGCTAAGCAACAGAAACTACTGCAGTGCAGGGGATACAGCAAAGCCTTACGTGAGAGCATCAGGGCAGTTTCGGCTCCCAGTCCTTCACTGGAAATCATACAAACAACAACGTAGAATACATTCCACTTAAAAGAAGTGGACTAGAAAGCAAGATTTATGACAGCAAGCTAAAAAGGTTAAGATAAGATGCTGGGCTGAGAATCACTTTAGGACATACCTTTTTATAATGATATGAAATAGTGAGACCAGTAGGAATAACATACCATGTGTGGGGGTTAAATTGAAAGCAAAAGAAATAAATGGAAAATCGCACCGTTAAATCACATTAAAAAAATGCTTCAGCACCTCAGTGCCTTGTAACTTACAGGAAAAAAAAGGTTACTGATAATGTTCTTGATGGCATGCATTTCTGGAGTGCAGAGCACAGCAAAGAACAAAATGCCTTTTTTTAAATAGGGGTCAATCATTTTAGGTGATTTCTTGTGTGCATTTCAAAATCCTGTTTCTATCCTTGAACAAATAATATTTAGGACTACTGACAGCTAATGACACTAGTGTCTACAAAGTACTATTAAAAATCAATTTGTGATGAGTTTGGTATGGATTTAGAGAATGCTAAATGGAGACAAACAAATGGCTTGAGTAGTTAAAAAAAGATGATCAAAGAACACATCTAATGGTTCAGACATCACACTATCTGCTAGTGTCTCAAAAGCATTATGCCACGAAGCCCTTAAGAAACCCTTTTATTAGAAATTAATTCACCTTAAAATGCAGCAATCTATAAAACAACTATGAAATGGCTTGCAGGATTAGCTATAATTGGATTAAGATGCTATCTTTACTACATTTTATGAAGACAAAACATCTTCTGACAAACATTAAAGAACTGAAGATAACCCTAATTCCAGTCAGAAGGTGCTCCCCCAGACAAATGTTCAGCATATCTCTTCAGAAGACAATCATTCAATAACTTCCTAATATAAATTTGTATTATTTTTTAGGATGACATACAGAGCTTTAAATTTAGATTAATTTATAAGCATATTTCTCCCTCACCTTCCTTCTTCTGAGAAAGCTTCACAGTAGATAATTAAGCTTGTGAAAAATTGTGCTCCATGGTTATATAAAAACATGAAAGATGCAGGTTGCTGTCTTCGTATAATCATATAAACATGCAATGTAACTATTCAGAAGATAAAGGAACACATACGCCTCAATTTTTGTGGTAATATTTGGAAAGATAATTAATTCTTTTCAACTTTACACTTTTATTGCACCAATTTTTATGTGGTTTTTTTTTTTTTTTTTTAATTCCAAAAATTTTTTGGAAGTGCTGCTGGCCTTCCAAAATAGTTCCATTGTATTGTATTCCACATAAGCAATCATGCTGTGATGCATTCAAAATTCACCACTGTAGATGCCTGAGTTCAGCTGCATTGTTGCAGAGACAAAATTGTGTTTCAGATTTCTCAGGGAAGTCACACACTGGAAGCAAACACTGATGAAGGTTGTTTTCTTTTTCATAGAGAGAGCACTCTCGCAGGCTTAGTGCAGATGGAATAAGGCAATCTTTGCAGGTCTGATCAGTTTTGTTCCACAGCAGCATCAATGTTACTCCTGCTCAAATGTTTAGCAAAGCAGACAAGTATGCATGGAAGAAAGAGACTGTCCACCTTAACAGGCCTACCAAAGAACAAACCCAAGGGTCCCCTATTTCCAGCATGAGCTAACTTCTTTGGAATTTAACTATGCAGGAAGGTCACTTAAAATACATGCTATACACGTCCTTGCGTCAATATACTTCCCTGTTTTGTACTAAACTTGCTCAGAACTCCACAGTTTAATGTCTATTGACCATGGGCTTTCCTACACTGGAGATTTCAGCATTTAAGTTACAAGTCAGACAAATCATTCATTGCAATTGATCTTTCTAACCACTTAAGAAGTTTTGCCAACTGACTCATGCTTGCAGGGATACCCTTCATTAGTGAGGCTTGCATCTTCAAGATTAATTTTTAGTGACTGCTCTATTTCATTTCCCTTCGGGTTGCCCAGACCACACATCCGTCCTCAAGATGAATACTTGTGCAGTATCTTCGCATAAACAACTGGAGACCACATATTGGCTCAGTATGGTCCAAGCAACCAAGTCATTAATTCAATCCCATTTCAGAGCTACAGCTTTCCTTCTGAGGACTACAGGACAACAGAAATAATTTCTCTGAGGTCAAGACTAAGTGGTTCTCTTGGAAAGGATACCACACACACCCATTATAAAACAGGGCTTTCTACTACAGTAAGATTTCAAGAGAGTTTGCTTTCAAGAGAAGAGAAGATTTTCCTGCTGTGTGAAATGTTGCCAACAAAACTGAATTCAAGCCCATTATGCCTGAAATATAAGGGAGAGATTATGGCTAAAATTAACTGGTTAGCTGCTAACTTGTAGTTTTGGTGGGTTTTTTTGGGTTTTTTTTGACATGAAAGCATCACTGGGCACTACATTTTCAAAAAGTGAAAAAGAAAACACTTATGTTGAAATTTGTAATTAAGCATTAAATAACTAAATAATGAGTTGTAGAGTGTTTTTCAAATACCAGAGGAATTAAGAATTCACTCTCTATATTTTAGAATTTTACCTGGCAAAATGTTCAAGATTATTTTATAATATGAGTTACAAATAGTTATTTTGAAAAGACTTTCAGTAGTTACTTAATGAAAAAGTTCTCCATATCTTTTACTGGCAGAAAATTTCACTCCACTTAATCAGAGAAACACCCTATTTTTTGTTTTGTTTTATTACATCTCGCCATCATCTTATGTTTCAAAGTAAAATTACTCTACCACTCCACACCTGAATTAGGAGTAAGCATATATCAATAAAAGAATGCATTTATACAAATAGAAAAGGAAAGCTTCCCAATTCATAGTTTAGCTAATACACATTTACAATATTCACATCAGCCAGTTATCACCTTCACATAATTACACTTTGTGCTCACAATAAGTTTATTTCTTTGAAGTTTGATTCTGAAATCTTTTTTAAAGAAAGAATCCTACTGAAATAATTGAAGCAAAAGTTGAGGCATCATTCACTGAAGTAAAAGTTACAGCAAAGGTCATCTAGAAGTCACCATGACTATTACTACTAATATTATTAACAGCATACAATGGCATAATATTGAAATAAAGTACACAATACATACTTAAAAAGCTTTTTGAAGAGAAATCCGGGTACTTTGAAACCCTCTTCAAATTCAACATCACTTTCTTCAGAAAGTTCCTCAGCTGTTTGATGTTCTTTATCCTTCAAACGTTCTTTTTGCCACTTCCTAGAGTAACACAAGGAATCAACATCCAATTATAGCATGGAAATGACACTGAATTTTGATCAAGTAAAAAACCCCCCAAAAAACCACGTGCTCTGATGTCATTATTTAAAATAGCAATCCTTCAGAGGAGAGAATTATGCAAGTAAATGCTTGAAATGTCTGATATATTAAGGTATATTACAAAAGGTACATGTTTTATAGCTAGTTACGGTTTTCTAATTTTCTATAGACAAAAATACTAATATAATGGAATCAACAGCTAATAGCACCAAAAAACCTGGCAACTCTAAACTCCTAAATTTCCCTCCCCTTAAACCCCCCTCTGCCAAAAAATTGATAAAGTTTAGGTGTTCCAAAGCTATTTTATTAATTTAATCGAACACTTAAATTTAACTTCCTTCCTGTAGAGAAAAGTGAAGCAGTGTATAATCTTACAGAAAAGACTCAGCTGGAAACATGCTCTAAATTTGTAATGCAGCCATTATTAAGAGAATGAGTTTTATGAGGTTTTGGAATTACAGTGTGATTTGTGGTTTGCAGCCTCAACTTATTGGGACTCCGGGCAGCTTAGAGAATTACCTTCCTGTCCCATCATTCCCCCTCTGCTGAGAAAGCACCAAAGGATCTTCAACATTCCCATGAAATGATGAACTTGTGTTTCAGTGACCCAAACCCACCTGCCTCTAATGGTAAAGTGTACTCTAGCTGGCTATGTACTACTCAACCAACAGCACTTCACTGGTGTTTGCTGGAATTCTCTCTCCTGAAAGTGCCATTTACGGCAGGCACACTGAATGTGGTGGACAAACTGACAAAAACCCTACAGAAACTGGCAAGGCACACCCCAGATTAAAAACACCCATAAGCTGCTGTTCTGAATGCAGTGCACAAGCAAACGTTGACTTAACGGTCTCTGCATATCTGACAATTTTGTTTAAGAACACTTGTATTAGAAACAAGAGAGCAGGGAAGAAGTTCAACATTTCACATCCAAGCAATACAATCATACACTCTTTCTCATGAAAGAAAGCTGATTGCTTGAGGTTTCTAGATGGACTTTTCAGCAGTACCTATTGAGAAAATACTTTAAGTCTTACTTTATGGAACTCGTCACAAACTTGGTATTGCTCTATTAACTCAAAATAAACACCACAATCTCCAAATACACACAAGTTACAATCACTGCCAAGAATGAAAGCACTGAAAAACTAAGACAACACAATACCGATCAGGTTTAGAGAGCCAGTTTCACTGAAGCATATTTTGATCTCTTAAGATATCTTCAGAAGCAAAAATAATGATGGAGGGGAAAAAGAGCATATAAAGGGAAAAAAACTAGATGAACAAAGACAGTCTTCAGTTTGTTGTTTAAAACTGATTATTTGCTAATGCTTATATAGGATTCTTCTTATTTCATTACATGATACATTCCAGAGTCATAGCATAAGAATGCCTTTACATTTCTGCAGTACTGCAATGTTATGCTATCAGGCACAGAGGGTCTTCTTTTCTGAGTTCCAAAAAAAAAAATTAAAATCGACAAATGATGATAGCCATTGCTTCAGACTGCATCACTGCTGGAACTGAGACATGCTACAACTTAATTACTTCATCTGACTGGGCTATGACAGGACTCAAACCGAGGAAGGAAACTCCTACTTACCACACTAAAATCAAAACAACTACAGATTACAAAACTTCTAAAGAGACATGTAGGTAACCAATCCATGCTAAATCCAAGCAGAGCAATAATTTGTACAAGAATTTGCCATTAATTTTGTACTCCAACAGAATAACCAGCAGACAGCACAGGAGCAGCAGCCTCCCCTGGGAAGGAGCAGATTGCCCTCTAGTGTGCATTGGGAAAAGTGATCCAGAAACAACCAAGAGGAAACTCCAAGCTTAACTCGAAGCTGTCCAGGAATTTAGACATTTCACCTCCATATAGCTAGAACATTTTCTTTAAGAAGTGTGACCTATATTGGGATTTCACCTAAACTTATACATGGAAAATATACAGAATTTGAACTTGAACTAATAAACCCTGTACTTAATTTTCCTAAAAACCATTTCCTTTTTACATGCTCTGTTACTTTACTGAGGTACAGTAACATCTCTTCCCAAAGTCTAGAGGTTTTCAGCCATCAATTATCAGTTTAAAGAAATAGAAGCAACTTGCTATCACAAACAACTTTGAAAATTTGAAGAAGCTATTCAGTTTCTGAAAGGCTGTGAACTTAATGTAACACACACCATTAAGATATTCTACACTGAAATGTCATTATTTTATTTAGAAAAGTGTAAATATTCAAATGCCTGAAGTCACAGGAGAACAAACACTATTTCCAAGGCCAGGTCAGTCTGTTGGCTAATCTGGTCTTGTACCTTTCCCTGGAAGTCAGACTTTGGAGGGAGAAATAGTGGTCATCATCTTTGACTTAAATACACAGTAACTTACTGCTCATTTGGTCAATATATTCCTTACACACATCAGTTAAATGTCATTAGTATGCCTAAACAATCAGAAAATAAAGGTTTTACTGTATTACCGAAGTCTCTTTAAAACAGAAGCATGACCTTTGAGAAATCTGTCTTATATTGTCCATTGTCACTGACATAAATATAATTTTATCCCTGAAAGTAAAGTATGAAAGCCATATATCATACAATTAAATTTCTTCTTAATATAAGAATGTATTCAGATACTAAGCCCATTTCACACTTATTGCAATACCCTAGAAAGAAATTCTGCATCCAAAACAGTAATGAGCACAATTTGACTTTTTTTTTTTTAAAAATGCAGTCAGGAACCAAGCTGAGTATTTAATATAGTTTGCATTTGTGAAGCACAATAACAACAATATGTTTTATATTTTATATAGCTAAGAATCCCTTACAGATTATTCTAATTTGCTAAACTGACGCATTCAGTATTGCTTTTTTGATCTAACTTTTTATGGTCTATATGGGTGGATTTAATTGGTATGTCCTAACAGATGAAATACATACAGTTAGTACCACAAGCCTCCATAAGTAAATGAAGACTGATGTAGACAATTACACACTTGAGTTTAGAATGAAAGGTGTACCCAGTGAGTGAGAGAAAATCTGTCTTCATTTGTGTCCTGTCTTTGTCACTTTAAAGAGCAGTAAGGATGCTTTTAGAAAGTATCTTTCAGGCAAGATAGTATTTAATCCTTTTTTAACTTATCACTTTGAAACACAGAGAGATTTAGTAACTCAGATATATCAAAGAAAGCTAGCACATGAAAACTGATCCATGAAAACCAATTTAATTTAACACAATTTTTTTCTTTCTGAATCAACTGCTTTGTGTACTGACAGTCAAAACTTCCTGCTACTCAACTGTCTGGATATCACTTGAGAGACAAGAAAAGAAGCAGCTTTCTGAGCCTTGCCTTTGTGTACTTGACAGCAATAGAAGTCAAACACTGTACTTAAGAAGCTATACAGAATACACAAGAAAACATAGATACAGCACTGATCTCCCATAGTATAACTTGTAATTCCTTCCTTGAAGCAGCAGGCAGATACATACTGACACCTGGTATGGGAAGAATGTACTTAAGACTACTAAGGTTTATTATGACTCCAAGCTATTACCTTATACTGACACCATCCTGATGTCAATAATGTAATGTATTAACTACATATAAGCAGAAAAAAATTACTTTATACTTGTGCTTGGCATTTTAATATATGTAAAGGAAAATTTTAATATAAACAAAATCTTGATACTTTGTGGTTTCCATATCCTCAAAGTCTAATACAAATAAAAAAGTAGTTTTTTTTGTTGAGAAAAAAAAAAAGTTTTATTTACTACACATTTAATAGGCATTCAAGGTTCCTATTGTTTTGTGCTTCTTGGTAAAAGAAGCTGAAAAACAGGTTCATTTTCATCCTTTTCATAGTCTTCAAATAAACTGCCTGTGCCATTAAACTGACACGCTGGTTTTGGATGAAGCAAGTCTATTTTCTTTACAGTGGCTGGTATGGGGCTGTTTTGGATTTGTGCTGCACACAGGGCTGATAATGTTGATGTTATTGTTGAGCAGGGCTCACACAGAGCCAAGGCCTTTTTGTGCTGCCACCCTGGCCAGGAGGCTGGGGGGAGACACAGCCAGGACAGGGGACCCCAACTGACCCAAGGGCTATTCCAGAGCAGATGGCATCGTGCTCAGTACACAAAGTGGGGGAACAAGGAGGAGATAAGTGGGGGATGTTTGTAGTGATGGAGTTTGTCTTCCCAAGTTACTTATCTAAGATGGGGCCCTGCTCTCCTGGGGATGGCTGAACACCTGCCTGCCCATGGGAAGTAGTGAAATAATTCCTTGGTTTGCTTTGCCTGTGTGTGGCGCTTTTGCCTTCCCTACTAAGCTGTCTTTATCTCAGCCCAGGAGTTTTCCAGCTTTTACCCTTCTGATTCTCCCCTGGTGCAGGAGTGAGTGAGTGGCTGAGTGGGGCCTGGCTGCTGGCTGGGGCTAAACCATGACATCTGAGCATTCCACTAGGCAGGGGGGGAACAGGTTTTGATCCCACCAGCTCCAATTTTGAACATTTCTAGATGAAGATGGCCACTGTTGAGTATGACACAGGCACTAGTAATATACCTATTGATGGGGATCAAGTCTCTGAGACACTCCAGTACCATCCTAGAGACTGACTACCTAAGCCTTTGGGTTCAGCCAGTATGGATAGCTGGGAACAACAATACACTAATTTTCAGTGACTATTTGATAAATTTTACTTTTTCATGTTCCATTGCTCACACCTTGCTTTGAGTGACCAGGCCAACCTCTGAAAGCAGCCTTTAGAAGGACAGGCTGCTCTCCTGCCTGACATTTCCTACCGACAGCAGCTCCTATTCTGACAACAGTCTCTTGTTCTAGAGATGCTCTGCAGTCATGCAGTTAGCTAATTATCCTGCTTTAACAACATCAGTGTAGTTTCCCCTTGACACAGACCAATCTCTTGAAGTCCCATCTCCGAAAAGTTTTAATGTTAAAGAAACTCATTTTCAGTCTCTAAGAGTATAGGACTGAATTCATTGCCAAGCACAAGACTAGATGTTCAGAAGAATAAAGTAATCCTGAAGGATTTTCCTCTGCCTCTCTCACGGGTAAAATATACCATAATCTCACCCATTCGTTCGCATTCAAAAGTAAAACTGACATGAAACAAGATATAAATGTAAGCAAATGACAGCATTTCTATAGCATTCTTAATATGTTTCTTAATTCACTACATTTTATTTTCTCATGGCATTTCCCATAATGAAGATTACCTGGGGGTGTCAGCATAAAAACATCAATGTGGACAGCTGCAGCTTAACAGCCACAATAACTGTAGCTATGAAATTTTTAAGAGATGTAGTGTTTTGGTAGCAATTACAGTTATTGATATTTCTAAAATTCATTTAAGCTTTTATTGTAACTTCAGTAACCAAAAGAAATGTAGTCTATGATATGACTTTGCTAAGGATAAATTGTCACAATCTTAACGTTATTAAAAAACCTTTTTGAATGAATTTAAACTGTGAGTCATATTAAAACTTTCAATCAAAATAAATTACTCTTGATGAAAACACTGAATTAAAAATGATTTAATATTTGTCTACTTTAAATGTGAAGAATACAGTTTTATTCAATAAACCAGTAAATATTTTACTCATTAAGAACAATTAGATTTGTTAATGAATTCAAGAGAAAATATTTTTTTTAACCTCTTGCCAAAATTTCTATTCAAGAGCAATAAACTATGCCTTACTTTTGAAAAGCAACAGCCTGGATTTGCAAACCTATTGCCTATATCAGTTCCTAATCTGCCTTTGTAACCTGGGATGTGAAAGTGAAGTTGGGCTCTTCCTACATGAGATTTTCTACAACTGAGAGCACTTCTGCTACCAGAAGATACCTCTTCCTCTGCAGCAACCCAGTCTCTCACCATAGGAGAGATGGTGTTTATACCTCTTCTTGATTCCTTCTCTGACACAGCACCATTTAAATCCATAAGATTTTATATTTCCACAAAAGTGTAAAATTTGAGCTTCCCAAGCATTAATCAAGTTCCTATGCTGGCTTTATCACTACATCAATCACCCTTCACTGACTGTCCTAATACATGCTCTTCACTCTAAAGAAGCTGTTTTCAAGTTCCATGATTTTCTAGAGGACTGTGTAACTACCTGAAGGATATTCAATAAAAGTATCTAATTAGAAGTACACATGCCACCAACAAGCTGAAGTTTATGAAGCTCAACGCTTATAGTAGAAAAGAGACAACATGCCTGTGATCACCAACACATAGATTATACAAATTTCATAAACCACAGATTAGCACAGGTGATTCACAAATAAGGACCTATAACAAGAAAAATTCAACAGCTAAGTTCTTGTAATTAAACTCCACATTTGAACTCTTCTGGAAGATTATCTACGATCCTTCTGACTACCTCACTTCCCTTACTTCAACACACTCCCTAGCAGTTTATTATAGTTATTGTCCTTTGCATGTTCAACATACTAATTTTTTATTATTATTAATAAAAATGTCTAGGACTAACCTTAGTCTCTGTTTATAATAGTCCACATCTCCATCATCTCTCCATCGTCTCACTTTGTGTTTCCCTGGTGTATGCTCTTCTTCCTCAGAGCTTGGAACAAAGTCATCATCATTTTCAGCTTCCTTAAAACCCTTATTCACCAAATGTTTTCTTTTTCTTGATAAACTCTTCAGTTCATAATCAGAATCATTCTCAGCAAGTGAAGATGCCTGTTCTTCTTCCTCTTCTGCTGCCTCTGGATCAAAGAGCTCCTCATCAGGTACATACTCAGACTCCCCACTATCATCCTCTTGTTCATGCCTGCACTTCTTGGCCTCAAGATATTTCTGTTCCTTTGGAATCCTGGCCTTTGAATGAATCTGAAGGGCATGCTTCTGAAGATCTCTCAAGTGTTTTTTTAAACGCTTATCTGTTTTTGAGAGGGCCTTACCACTTTTTTCCTTTGTGGCAGCTGCAGGAGCCACAGGCTGAACACTTTTGGCTTGCGCCTTCTTCTTCACTCCTTTGTGACGGGATAACTTCTTTCTTTCAGATGACAATTTAGCCTGGTCTGCTAAGTACTTCTCAAAATCAGATGCTTCATTTAGCCTTAACTGTCGTGCCTTCTTCTCTGGCTTCTGAGGTATTTTAGTTCCAAATGGAGTCATCTGACCAGTTCGGATGAGCTCTGCCCACTCTGTTTCCTGAGCAGGCATAAGCATACTGCCAAGGGATGATGGACCAGGTTCTACAACAAAAGTCAGAACATACAGCATGCCTTTAACACCTTCTGTGTAGCTAAAACACAGCAACAAGGGTGTTACACATACTATCAAAATGCAAATACCTCTGAAACAACACACAGCAGCAAGAAGTACCATAAAATTACAATTCCCAATGATACGTGAAATCTAATGTACCACCTACATTGTCAATTGTCAGCATTTCACCACGTTCAGAACAAGAAACCACTGTGTTCCCATCTGCAGCAACACTGCCCATTTCAATTTTATTATTGATTTTTCAGTCCTACTCAAAAGCTTGAAATTTGACATTTTGATTACCACACTACAACAGACAAAAATCCCACAAAACACAGATTGTCCTACCATACGCTTCAAAAAAACCCAACGAAAAAACAACGAATAAGAAAACCAAAAAACCCAAAACCTGTCTTCCTAGCCTACAATACTAATATGAAGATGATGACTTTTAAAGTCAGATTAGCTGCACAGCACTCTGCCATGAAAGAGCACTTTTAGGTGCACTTACTATACACAAATGGTAACTGGTGTTTGAAACCAAAGAGAAAGAAAAGCTCTTGAATTCAGGAAGCTGAAGGGGAACTCTGCCCTGAAATCTCTTACTGGGATTGAGAATTTCAACATAAGGCTGTGAGGATTACCAGCACAGTTTAAATGCCCCATTTTAAAGCATTGTTTGTATCATATGTTTAATGAGTAACGACAGTGCACCAGGCATGAAAACCCCTCCATCTCCACCCCTTCCGACTGGAACTGCTCCATTTCTTCTGTTGGGCTCCACTCACTTTTTAGCTACATTTCAACACACTGGGTGCCTGAGTTTTGCTGCATGAGCCCTCCAAAGAAAACAGGATTTAGGATGCTTTTCTACTGAGAAAAGTTAACTGAGGCTTTGACTCCTTTAAGCATTGTTGAATAAGGAGAGAAGCATGAGATGTGCAAGATGGGATTCTACTGCAGCAACACGTGCAAGGGTCAAACAGCATAAAGAGTTTTTCCATCACTGCAAATATCAATATAACCCAAAGGTGATGTCTAGACACCAATGGGACCCAAACTTGCCCTGCAGAATACTGCAAGTTATTGACTGTGGCCAAGCTTAGTTTGCAGAGAGCAGAGAGAAATAACACCTAGTAAAACACTGAGGCAACATATACATATATTCTGGAAGAAAACTTACTTTTCATTTTAAAAATCACACTGCAGCCTGAAAAGAAGAAGCACTCCCCCCTTCATTTCTAGTGATACTTCCCAACAGTAAGAAAAACCAATTTTGTTAATGCTGATTGATAGCATCCAGCATATAAAATGTAATTCAGTCATGATGTTAGTCATCTTTATCAAATTAGCTGTGAAAAAAATGTTAGGATTTCCAATTTATTAAGCCCAATACTCTAATGTGCCTCAGCCATCCCCACACAGCTGAACATGGATTAACATCCATTTTTTAAAACTTCCCATATGAATATGCCAAGATTCGCAAATCTGCAGGTGTACAGAGCAAGTGTTCTTAAGTATCTTTGAAAGCCAACCACCGAAATTTATTTCCTTACTGGCAAAAATCTTACAAAATAGCTTCAAACAAAAAAGAAAAAGGCATTACATCAAAGTAGAACAGAACTTTCAGCCTTTTCCTATACATACCTTCATCTTTCTCATATTCAAACTCATTTGCTTCATCTGCAAAGTCTGTTAAACCAAGTATTCCTTGGAGACGTTTTTGTTTTGCTTTTATCTTCTTCAGCTGTTGCTCCTTCAATGAGAATTATATAAGTAACTTAATTCTTAATCTGCTAACCTTTTAAACAATACTGAAATCAATTTATCTGCAGTATTTTCAACCAGAATCTCGTATTTAAATACTTACAGTATCACACTTGAGAAAAAAAAAGTGCAAAAAAAGTGTCACCATAATACTGTAGGGCTTCAACCCACAGGAGACACAATTTTGGGTGATGATTATCTTACCATATGTGTATACTAATATCAGGTTTACACATATAAAATTCATGTGCACACTGCATTTTTATGTAAATTTCTTAAGGCCATTTTATGTATTGATTCTAGTGAAGGAAGCCCATCAAAGCAGACTGCTGAGATGGACAGAGAATACCATGAGATTTATTAATGACTGCAGGACTGGGATAATGACTACCAAGCCACAAATAACAGCTATAAGATTTACTAAGATTTATTCATCATCCCAGAAGTTTTGGAGAGTTTTGTTACAAAGGAAATGAAATTGTAAATCAGCCCAACATCCTGATAGGTGTTTGTACATGGTTAGTTCAGGAGTGGTCATGGTTAATTTAGCAGCAAAAAATAAAAAGTGAAATTACTTCAAAAGACCAATGTTACAGATTATGTAAGAAATATAGTTTATTACTGCTATGAAAATCATTCTTAGCTAATAATTCTTCTGTTATACCTTTTTTCTGATTGTAATATCCCCAACAGGGTATCTAACTGTGATGGTATGATTCCTTGATTTTGCTAACTTTCCTTTATGAAACAAAACATTCCAACCAGTAAAACAAAGATACAGGCAATGTAACCTTCACATTTGTAACTCCATGCTTTGGAAGTATTTCCTTAACCAGAAAGGCACATACTTCAATAAAAATCAAATCCATTGCAAAATTCAGGTTATCAGGACCATTTTTGTGGCTTGTGATTTTCAAAAGGAGATTTTATTTCACTTCAAAGATGGTTAACAACCAACTTGCAAGGAGGTCTGAACTTTCCCTGTACATGTGTGCAAATCTCTTCAAGCAGTATGAAAACATGCACAATAGTGATCATTCTTTAACAGCAAGTCTTGTTTAACGCATTTCTTCCTACTACCTCCAGCTACTTTTTTCTAGCCCTTTGCCACTGCTCTGTACTGTCCCATCACTTTCTTAATTGGCTAAATTATGAGCACTGTATTATCCGGGTTTTCTGAAATTATCAAAGTTAAAAAACTACAAGTGAATGAGTCAGTGACATATGACCTAAGAATGGCCTTCTGAGGACAAAGGACAGTAAGTTTCACAGTCAGGTTTGTCATTAGAGAAAGTACTAGGGTGAATTTCCAGCAGACAAGAAGCTGATCAAAGTGCTATGTTCCTGAGTAAGTTCCTCTTTTCTCAAATCTCTTTCCTATTCACAGCTGTAAAGGTCCATTGCCTACATTACCCTGATGCCAGCTGGATCGTTTTACAACTCCCTTAACTCTCTGCTCTGGCAGAAAAAAGCTGCAGCAGTTTCTGACAAAGCAATGAGATAAAGGGGCTCACAGAGAGAAACTATGTGTACTGACAAGATACAGGTAATGAAAGACAAGAACAAGGGAAGGAATAACCATGAGACCTGAGATCCAGTTAAACTACTGAATCATGCCCTAACAAGCCTTAGTCAATTCTCCAAATACTACTATGAGGGTTTTAATTAAATTAATCCAAATCGATCTTCTGAACTGGAAGACTGGAACTTCAGCTTTGTATCTTGTTCCAAAACACAGAATAAAAAAAAAAATCAGCACTTTAAATTTTTAAATTATATGAAACCATTTTAAAGGAAAGGAACAGCAATTCTAGACTGACTCTGAACTATATAATTAAGAATTATATAACAAAAGCCAAACCTTAAGACAAAGTACAAACTAAGTAGTGTTAATTAGAAATTACTGTAATCCAATTACCTTGTTATATTTTTGCCGTTTTACAGAATCTAGTTTTCTGTTAATATTTTTGTTGTCAGCAGCCTGAGGTGAAAGTTCCTCAATAATTTTATTTATATGTCTCAGAGATGTTGTACATGATCTGGAAAAATAATAAGATTGCAATGAACTGGTAAATTCTAGAAAGAAAAATAGCATACTCTCAATTCTGACAATTTAAAAATTCCAGGAGACTTAACGTAAGGCTTAAAAATCTCTAAATGTAAGGTTCTTAATATGCATAATATATTTAAATAACACTGGAAATGCTAACACTTAAAGAAGTTGTACATCATAAAGTATTTTTAAACTAAATGTTGGTAATAGTAAAATTCCAGAAGTACTTAAACTGAACAACCACTGTAGTATTTAGTACTCAAAAGTTACAAGTCTGATGATGACAAGCAAGAGTGGTTATTTTTATTATTCAAGGTAAACAAAACAACCCAAAAATCTAAATGGGGGAGCCCATGTTTTAATTTTCTAAAACGGTTTGAATGCTTTAATGCCATTATATAAGGAGACCTGTATTTTGTATCTTTTATGCAAAAAGTAGATTACAAGACAAAAATGCAATTTTACTAGACAGACTACTTCAAAGAATTAAGGCTTTTTTTATAATGCTCTGAGATTCTAATTTGTCTATCCTTATGAAGTATTCTGATATATGAATTAACAAACCTAGGTTTGTTGCTTTTGATGATTGGGCACTTCCTTCTTCCTTGCAAATGAATTCAACAAAACTTTAACAGGACTTTGGAATTTCAACTGGATTAACTTCAAACAATTTTATTCTCCTTTTTCTGCTTAAATTTGTGTGTATATTATAGAATCGTGCAGCTTCTAACACAAACTCTGCCAGCTAAAAACCACTTCTTGCCTGATTTTTTCTCTAGTCATACATTTGCTGTGCTACAGGATAATAAGCAATTCCATCATCCTTTACTCATGTCTAAGTTTTGTTAGTTCCTCTGCTCAAAGGCAGCTACACCTGTCAATTTTCTCAAAAGTCAACTTTCAGATTCTCACATTACATTTTATGCAGACAAGATTCTGCAAATCTGCATAAACCATTTGCAGTCCATCATGTAAATCTTGTTTTAGGACTTGGAGTGAAAGGTGAAAATAGAGGGATAAGAAAAAATCAGAGGATGCTTGTGAAAGAAAAATGGGAAAACATAAACTAATTAACAGTGCTGCACATCACTCTTTCAATAATCACATACTCTAATTGTAATGGTTATGCTGCTCTATTATTTCTCTCAGTAACACCTTACTCATTATGTTCTTCTGCTCCACAACACTCAAAATTAGATTTCAGTACTGCAAACTTATTTAACTTCACATCTCCACACCCAAGGTGGAAAGTTAATGAAGTACATATAATTGAGGCCTACAGCACTCTTGAGCACTAAAAAAAAATACCATTAATGCAATACAGTGAAATGTAAACAGGTAGAATAATTTACCTGCAATAGTTCACACAGTAACTCCACAATGAGACAAGAAACAGAAAGGGAGATCAAAATTGGAAAGATTACTGGGTCCTATTCCTCAAAGTCTTCTACTATCAATAGTATCAATGTTAGTTAAGCATTTGTTCTTTTAAGGTATCATTAAGCACTTCTTACAAAAACATTTGTGATAAGGTTGTTTTGGTAGTAGGACATTCATGACATGGAGTCATCCATGTTACAGAAGGAATGTAACTCGAAGTGGACGACCCCACAAAACATACAGAATTGAGGAAGTGACACTTCTGACTGTAACTTTCAATAACTGCCCAGAAAACAGATGTATCTTGGTCAGGTAGGAGACAAAGCACAAAAAGGAGGTGCACTCTACCTTGCTGCTTTGATGCATGACTAGATTACTCAAATAAGAGCAATGAAGCATTGTCTAATGTGAAAAATATTTTCTTCATTTTTAAAAGGCAACTCCAAAGAGTACGTGTGATCATGCACTTGCAAAACATATTTTTTTCTTTAAGATTTTAAAAACATGAGACACCAAGTCTCATTAGATTGTCAGTAGCAGAAAAAAACAGTAAGGAAAAAACACAATTTACCTTAAATCCTCCAGCACTGACTCATACTCTTTTGATGCATTAGCTATTTTTGCTGCTTTAGTCGCTTCATTAATTGCATTATCTACTTGCTGAAGAACTCCTTGCTCCAACACATCCTGGTCATAGACATCAACTCCTAAATCTTTGAGCTCAGCAGCATGTGCACTACATGAGACAGACTGAATCTGCTGCCTGTTGATCTGTAAAAGGGGATGTCCTCTTCTGGGCACCTCCAAAGGAACAGCCATGGAAGTGGAAGCCTGGCAGTCAGAGTTGGGAACTCCGATACTATTACCCATATCATTGTCACAAATGCCATTTTCCTGTTCAGCTCCCAAGTCCTCATCATTATGCAGGCAATCACTGCTTGAAGTAGTGGCAGACTCTTGTTCTTGAATGCTGTTGGGCAGGTGGCTCTTGTGTGTTGTCATCCTCTGCTCAAAGGCAACAAAGAAGGACATTATCATAAGAACATCCACACACGCAAAGCTCCTTATGAAGACTGTGCCCCCCCCCCAAAAGTAAGCAAACCAATAAGCACATTTATAATAAATTGTTTCAAAGCACCTGGTAGTCTACTTCTCCATTAGTCCTCCCTGCAGAGGCATCTTCACACCAATCTCCACAATCAAAAAATTGCCAAACCCTCTCAGAGACAATAATGTTTAACCCTCCTGGGAAACACTGATATGAAGACAAATAAGACAACGTGTAAAAATTACTTTCCTTGCCAGACAGTGAACTCAGTCTTGTGTGTAAATGGTCATGCTCCAGAAGACTGTGACATAACAAAAACATATGCAACTTAATATACCCAAACCCCAAAAATACAACTTTCAGAAACAGGTTAAGACTTGCCACTGAAAGCACCAGTGATGTAGGAGGCCGTAAGCTTTAGTTTGACAATTCAGCTTTAAAGTGGAGCATAAAGCACCTAATTTCTCAGGAAATTAATGCAGGACTGCCATACTAAGGCAAACCTGGAGCTGGTATAGTTCAGCGACCTCTCCGAGCGCGGCAGCCCATGGATCCCAGTCCCAGCTCACGGTTTTCTCGCCCCGCTCGGAACAAGCCCGCACAGGGCCTGGCCCTACATTCATTCACACAGCAGGCACCACACCACGGCCGGCCCTCCGCGGAACCGCGGGGCCTCCGCCCGCCGGCACGCAGCGGTGCTGGGCAGGAGCGGCGCTGCACCCACCTCTGCCTGCGAGCGAGCGAGCGCTGCGCTGGGACGGGGCTGCCGCTGGGGCGGGCAGCGCGGGGCTCCGGCTCCCGCCGGGCTGTGCCCCACGGCTCGGCACGGCTCGGCTCGGCTCGGCTCGGCACGGCTCGGCTCGGCTCGGCACGGCACGGCACGGCACGGCACAGCGGCACCGCCGGGCCGGGCCGGGCCGGGCCGCGCTGCTGCCCCAGCACGGCTCCGGCTCTGCGCCTGCGCGGGCCCGCGCCGCGCGTCACTTCCGCAGCGGCGGGACTGCGCGTGCGCGGCTCGGCCCCGTCCCCTCAGGGCTCGGCCCCGGTCCGGGCCCCCCTGGGGATGGGCTGGTGACGGGGGCAGACACGAATCTGTCCCGCCGCTCTCTCTGCCTGTTTGCCCCTTCTGCCTCCCCATTTAGCGTCGTGACTCTCCCGCATCCAGCTCCCCCTCCTTCGGGCAGCAGAGCTGGGTTTACTTGCTGGCAGCCTTGGTCCAGCTGTCAGACGATAAATGTATAGCAGAACACATAGATATTAATAAATAATTCTCAGAAATGTTGATGGCTTTTTCCCCGGCTTTATTCTGAACAGTTTCAGGTCTTTGACATTGCTTCTTTTCCATTAGTTTGTTACTGCCTTGAAATGGCTATGAGTCTTGGGGAAAACACAGAATGCATTTTCTAATACCTATAAAGACCTAGACCTGAGATGTCATCATGCAAATAAAGCAATGCTATATTGATAAACTCTTTGTTTCCTTTGCTCTGAAATACACTATTACTGCAAATATCCTTTAGTATTTAATGACTACAATGAGGAAACTTCTGAATCTTCATTGCCATGTTCTAAGTAGAAGGAATGGTGTTTTGTAACTGCTGAAACAATTTAAAATGTGAAGTGCTAAGTCTTTCAGCAGACTAAGACAACAACCAGGGATATTTAAGGACAGAGCAATGTCAAGCTGCTGTCAAAACTAAACTGCAGCATGGAGGGGTAGGCTCAGTTTTCCAGAAACTGATTACTGAAAGTCAAAAAATAAGTTTTCCTGGAAGCAGAAAAAAGGGCTTTGTATTATTAGCTAGGAGGGAAGTTTTCAAGTGACAGGCTGCTTTTTTCCTAAAGGAGGAAATGGAAGATTTTTCTACCTGTTAGCAGACTTCTATGTGTTAAGAGATCACTAATGTCAGAGATGGTCACTACTAAGATCAGAAGAAGGGCTTTAATCCAACATGATATATTATTGCATCAAATCAGTTATGCTGTATCCTGACTGTGACTCCAAGGATTCCTGGCAGAGCTGGCTGATAAAGATCCCTATTGTGCTCTGTATATAAGGGCATATATGGGACTGAAAATGGTCTTTCTGTGAGCGTTCTGAAACCATGATGTAAAAATGTGGGAGTTCCTTTTGGTAGCTCATGAATGACATCTGTCCATGAAACACCACAGAGTCTGGGAATTGTACAACAAGTCTGGGCAAACTGGGTGAGGCTCACAGGTTGTGTGTGACACACACAGGAGGCTGTTCAGCTGAAGTCTGCTGAACCAGATCCTCCAGCAGCTGAAAAGCTGCATGGCTCCATTAAAGTCGGAGCACAGAGATCCCATAGGTCTTTAAAGCTTGTTCCGTGGTTGCCCATCCTTGGTGCATTTGCAACACTATGCCTTTTTTAAAATTTTCAACCTTGACACACAGTTTTACCCAAGCAGGGGAGATCTGTCATTTCCCTCTGTTTCCAGCCTCACCTATTGCCTGGAACAGTCTATTGTAAAGGCTGTAAAAATACAAAATCTGTATTATAACACAGAATTTCTTGAAGTTATATTTTCAGTTCAGTCATTTTCACACAGAAAATTGATTTCTAATGAACCAAAAGTTCCGTTCTGGTTTTGGCTACATACACATATGGCTTCTGGTATTTTCACATAGCATGTATGCATGCATGTTTATATATTGCTGAAGTATTTAATTGCATTTATGTGCATTTTGTTCTCCTTTTTAAAAATTTTTCTACATGTAGATAGCTACTTGCCACAGTGCAGCTAGTCTGCTAAACTGTCGGCAGTGTGGTTTCATGGGCAGGTCAAGTTCTGCTTGTTTGATTAGGTTTTTCTTCATGTTGTAACATAGCCACAGTCTTCACCTCCCTTATGCAAGCATTAGTGATGACAACTGTTGCTGGAGCTGGTTTTGGCAAATTTTGATATGCAGATATTATGCTCTTTTACTTGAACTAGCAAGACTGGGAAGTTACACTGTGTCTTCCCTTACAATCAGCCTTGTGGGGTTTCTGGGAAGGATCCTGGCAGACCATGTGAAACAGCAGCTCAGAGCTCAGCTGTTGGATCTGGAGGGATGTGAAAAAACTCAAACAGAGCCCAAGCAAGCTCAACAACTTGGAAAGGAAGCAATTTGTTTCTGTTACTCTGAATAGGGTAATGAAAAATTAGGTTCTGTCAAATATAGTCAGTGATGAAGGGGAAAGGGGAAGTGATTTAATTTTTAGTCCATAATTTTTTTAGTTTCCTGCTCTAAAGTTATCCCTATAACTATGATAAACACATCCAAGGGATGCACCCAGCATAACCAGTAACAACCTTCCGTGTCTAAGTGCTGGTTCTTAGCAGGAGTTGATCCTCTCAAGCCCTTGACAGCCTGGTTGTGCTGCTAAGGCTGTGACCTGCTGGCAGTTGGCCAAACATTCTTTCTTGCTTTTCAAGTAGGCCTTTCGTCCACAGATTTTGGTGTGTATTTTGCCAAACTGGAGGCTAAGGAAGGTCTTTGTGACAGAATATATTTATGGATTTTGTTCTGAGGAAATACTGTGTGTGGACTGTGATCACAGTGGATCAAGCACACAGAATGGCTTGGACTAACTGTCTAAGAAAAAGCTAATCCAAACCAGTACATTTTCAGAGTTAAGTGACCGTGGGATTTGAGCATCTTTGAGCTCTCATCACACCAGTGTTTTTACATGCATTAAGGTGACCTGAGATGGCTGAGCCTCAGGCGTACGACTGCCACTTTTCTTTGTGGAGCAGTCCCAGTGGATGCAGTGCTTTGCTAAATATTTAAAGATGTTTCTTTGTCCCAAAGTGCTTAGGCCTAAGATTTTCATTTATTCATAGAGCTTAAGCCCAGACAGGACCATTAGATCATTCTTTCTGACCTCCTATGTGACACTAAAAATACTCAGTAACTTCTACATCAGGTCTGAGTGTTGGAGATGAGGTGGCACAGATGGCTTGCCAGGATATCACATTTTGATTTAAATTCACTAACAATAGAAAATCTGTTCATCTACAAGCCACCTACATGACTTGGCAGATTGTTTCAGGGGTTGATCCTTCCAGCTATCTTTCATGTAGCCTGAAACACACTAGCTTTAAAAAAAAAGTCAAGTGCTTAAAAGAGAGGCTGGTCTGTTAAACACGGAGGAAGGAATAACTTGAATGTAATTTCAGAATAAGGCACAATTTTGTAAAATCTTGAGGTTGAATTTCAGAAGAATAAACTTTCCCTTACCTGCTTAGACTTCTGAAATGGCATGGACACCAGAGGTTTCACCTAAAAGTTCCCTAAGCAGTATGTACTCCCCTGTGCTATAGCTGTTCCTAGAAATTTTGTTATTGTGCCTGAGCTGATCAGCTGGCTATGCTTGTCCTGCCTGAGGAGAACTTAGAGGCTGAAAATCCCAACACTGTTTTGGAGGGGTCAGTTAGTCAGGTATGGAGTGTCCTAGTGCCCACAGGCAGCACTGTTCTGCTGAAAAAGAGATGGCAGTAGCAGATTTTAATGCATATCAGTTTAGTTTCTCTATTTTTCAGTTCTTTCCTGATGAAGCATCAACTGTGGGTCTGAGCCAACACCCTAGGAGATTTCTGTGCTGGTGGTGAAAATGCTATACACTGAGGATCACTGATACTTTTAAAACAAAATGCCAGAACTGTGAAGTTGTGATGAAAATAGATAATGAATGATTTAAGGGCTGCATTACTTCTCTGGAGGGCACAGAATTGCCAGCAGCATTGGCAGAAATGGGAATTCCATCCACAGTAATAAAGCATCTGTATCTCTTTGTACCAACAAGTCTAGTGGCAAGTATCTCTCAGAGCCATGGCAGTGTAATAAAGCTAATATATCAACATAAGAGAGATGCTAAACTCTTTGAAAATAATTGTGTACTTGGCAAGCAATAACTGCTACTCTTTATATTGCAGAGAAATAAAATTGATATTTTTTTCTTCCTTCACTCTCCCTGCTGTGGTGCATTTAAGAAATTAAATGCAGAAATCGACTCCTAATGCACTACTAGGTTAGAAAACTAATGAACTGCAAATGGGAACAAATTCCAGAAGTGAAGGTTTCTTCCACTGCTTTTCTCTGG